CACACTGCTGACCAGTGCGGTCACCAGTGCGAATGACGTACGTGCAGCTAAGACCACCCCCCCCGGTGCAGAGAGTACCACTCACGGACCTCCTGGGGCGAAGGAGTGTGCTGCTGGCCCTGGCCACCGCCAGCGCCTCCACGACCACCACCACCGCCACCACCTCCTCGGCCACCCCAACCCCTGCCGCCGCCTCGTCCACCGCCACCCCAACCACCGCCTCCGCCCCTGCCACCTCCCCCGCCGCTGCCGCCACCACCCCCACCGCTGCCACTAGCCCCTCCAGTCGTGCCACCACCCCCACCGCCTCCACCGCCCCCACCGCCGCCTCCCCCGCCGTCACCACCGCCACCCTTGCCCCCTTTGCCCTTGCCGCTGCGGCGCCCGCTCGAAGCAGGCGCGGTGCCTACCTTCTCAGCACCAAGAAGGTCGACAGCAGCAGCAGAGGCGACAGAAGGGAAGAAGGGGGGAAGGAGAACACCCCTCAAAGAACGGGGTACGGGGGTCGCCACGAGAGGCACCTACAGCGACTATGCTAGTCTCAGCTGCAAGCAGTTCCTTCTCGAGGAGGGCGATGGTGAGCTCAGTGGGGCAGCGAGCTAGGAAGTGGTCCCTGACAGCACGAAGTGTGTCAGAGAGGCGGGTGACTAGGTGGTAGAGAGTGAGCCAGAGTGGAGGGGGGTGCGTGGCAAGGAACTCAGCGGGCATGGCGGCACGGAAGCGGGCCTCACTAGTACGGAGGTGCGTGATGAGGTCAGCGACTGTGTGAAAAGAGGCCAGGTCGGGAAACAGGTAGGGGAGGGAGAGACGGCCTAGTGCGGCAGAGGCAGGTGAGGAGTAGCGAGCAACTACAGCTGTGTACAGTGCCTGTGCAGTCTTGTGCTGGCCAAAGTGCTCACGTTCGTCTATCGGCAGGGAGTTGCGAATAGCGAAGGGAGCGTGGGCATCACGAGTCTGCCACTGTGAGCGCGCAGTGCTGTCAGCAGTAGTAGCAGGGGCAGTGACATGGCCTAGGGCGTGATCATACAGTGAGATGTCATCCTTGGCTGTGAGCTGTAGGTAGAGGTGCAGGTCATCTAGCCAGGTGTCAAACTTTACTGGGCGGCCCTCAGCATCAAAAGCTAGAACCTGTGGGCTAGCCATAGGAGCAGTAGAAGGAGCAGCAGTAGCAGTAGAAGAAGCAGTTACGGCGGCTCAGTTCGGGCAGGGAGGCGCGGCTCGGGTGGGGCGCCTCGTGTCAGGTCGGGTCGCGCGGCTCGGCTGGGTTCGCGCGGCTCAGCTCGGGTCGCGCGGCTCGGGTCGTGCGGCTCGGTTCGGTCGCGCGGCTCGGTTCGGTCCCGGGCTGTGGCTGTACCGGGGCGTTAGGGAGGCGAGCGCGGGGCCTAACGGGGCCGTTTGGGGCCGCTAAGGAGGTCAGGACGGGGTCGACGGGGCCGTTTGGGGCCTTAAGGAGGCGAGCGCGGGGCCTAACGAGGCCGTTTGGGGCCGCTAAGGAGGTAAGGACGGGGCCGTTTGGGGCCTTAAGGAGGTAAGCGCGGGGCCGTTCGGGGCCTAGTAGGGGTCGACGCGGCCGCTAGGACGGTGAGCGCGAGGCCTTACGGGGCCTCATAGGGTCGACGGGGCCGTTCGGGGCCGTTAGGGAGGTAAGCGCGGGGCCATTCGGGGCCTTAACGGGGCCTTAACGAGGCCGTTCGGGGCCTTAACGGGGCCGCTAGGACGGTGGGCGCGGGGCCGAACGGGGCCACTAGGGGTCGACGGGGCCGTTCTGGGCCGCTAGAGAGGTAAGCGCGGGGCCGTCAAGGGGGGCCTCTAGAGGTCGACGGGGCCGTACTAGGCCTCTAGGGAGGTAAGCGCGTGGGCCGTGAGGGGCCTCTAGGGGCGGGCCGTCGGTGCCTTAGGTGGCCGTGAAAAAACCGAGGCGCCTTAGGTAGGTAGGTAGGTAGGCAGGTAGGTAGGTAGGCAGGTAGGTAGGTAGGTAGTGGTGGGCCCTTAAAAGTTCGGTCCTAGGAAGGACCTGCTCTATACCATGTTGAATAACTGAACAGGAATGATGGAACTAGCAGTGAAAACAGTACAAGTACCTAACCCTAGAATTGTGTACCCCCTATAGACTAACCCACTGTAGCCTAAACAAGAACAACAACATATATAATGTTTGACAATTGGGTTTCATAATTGTATGGTTAAACATACCAGTATGTTCAGCAGGTCATATGAAAGCCTAGTATGATGAATCGATCCACCCTGAAATGAAGGGCGTCTGTGGGAGGCAAAAGCAGTGATACTTGGTTTCAAGTTGAGACTGAAGAGCCTAGTTCAGGGCCCAAAATAGGTTTAGGTCCACTCTTTCAAATCAGGGTTCCAAGCCCCCAATACCCTGACCGTTAGGGTAATTTTTTTCGTACCCTGCCAAAAACAACTTAAAAAAACCTGTATACTGATTTTAAAAGGGTAAATTGTTATTTGTGTACATTAACATTGTTTAGTGCTACAACTCAATATAGTATATGCCCAGCTAGTCAGATGTCAGGCTAGGTGTGGGAAGGTCGCGAGGTCTAATCTGGTTAGATTAACATTTTTGCGGCTTTGCAAGGAAAACCTTCGCTACAGAGGATTCGGTATCAGTGAAGTATACAGTGCACCCTTATATTGGCAGGGTAACAGAAATCGTTATCAGTGTAAATCGAAACTTAGCCTGTTTGCTCTAGGGTAAACAAAATGATACCCTGTTTTTGCAAGGGTAACTGGGAAAAAGCAGCCTACCATAAGGGCAAAAGGGTATTTTACCCTTGAAATTTGGGCCCTGGCCTAGTTGCATTTCCTCGCTCAGCTCACCTTTCTCGCCCGCCATCACCTTACTGATTCTCTTGATCTCCCATACTCGCGCTTCCGCCGCGTTCAGGTCTTTCGCCACTCTCGTTCTGCAAAACTCACCGGTTAGTTACCAGCCACAGAAGGCTTCCCTTTCACTTCGCGCGTTCAATCACACGTGCTCCTGACTCGAATATGCTTCCTTTCGCGTCCTGTCCCACTCCCAAATCCGGGTTCTCTAAACACGCCACCCAGCGTCGCCACTTTCCCCTTGTCGGCTCTTCACCTTTGTTCTCTGGCTAATTAGCCGAACTTAGGCGTGATACCACGATCAGCGTTTCTTTTTTCCGTGGAGAAGTGAGGCCTGTCGATCAATCACTGCATAACAATCCCATTCGACAGCACCAGAAGCAGCAACAGCAGTAGCAGCAGCGCCATCAGCAGCGCCAGCGGCAGCGCGTCTCGGACTATCACAGCAGCACGCCATGGTTTGGCTCCTTCGTTCCATTACCGAACCCTCAGGTTCAGTGACATCTGCTCCCTCTCCTTCTTAACACTCCTAAGCTGATCATCTATTCTATACCTTTGGCTTGTTACCGTGAACATAGATGGCCACCTTTCAGTGAACCATGAATTTGTGCTCCATGCACACACATATTACCTTTACATTTCCTCTTGCTCTGAAATCCCGCACTCCGATCATCTCCGTCTTGTCCTTCGTCCCCTGGTTTTCCCTTTGCTGCTTCGCTGCTGCAGCTCCACCGCTTGTGCTGGCAAGGCCTCGGTCATACACCGTGGGACGCAAGGGTATGTTAGCAATTTTACACTCTTCTCTCTCTTCTCCCTCTGCTCTCTGTCTCCTCGGCTAGCTTCCTCCCCTAATAGCCTCCTGCTAGCAGTCTATAGTAGCCTCCTCAAGTAGCCTATATACTAATATGACACCATAAAGGAACTTTGTTTAGGACTAAGACCAAGACTGCAAGACTGTCAGACCAAGGGATTGTTAGAATGTGTAGCTGCTCCTGGCTTTAGAAACTCGCCATGCTGTAACTTTGTGGCACTTGCGGCTGTCAGCTGCCTTTCCCCCCCGCACCTCCCTCTGTGTCATGCGGTTGCCTCCCTCTCAGGCTGCCATATCACCACCGCTGTTTGCGTCAACTCGTTACCCACTCAACTTCTTTCCCCACGCATCTCCCGCCCTGCATTCCCCTTTCAGTCTGGCTGCGACATCACCAGTGCAGATGAGTTTCGAGTCAACTTAAAACCCTTCATCTCTCTCTCCCTCGACTCCCCCTGCATCGCATCGCCTTCCTTGCATTGCATTGCATCCCGTCCCGTCTCCAGGCTGCGACATCACCATTCCAGACGACAAGTCAGTGTCACGCCACCATGCTGATCTCATTCTCCGATGGCCGTCCAGTGACCTCCACAACAACACCGGACATGCACTGCGCAGCAGCCACCGCACCGCCACCGCCACCGCCACCAACAACAACAACAGTGCCAGCGGCAGTATTGACAGAAGCAGTGCTTCTTCCTCTCCACCTTTTCCGTCCCTTCACGTGAAGGATACGTCAAAACTTGGAACCTTCCTTTTACCTGCTGCTGCTGCAACTTCCAAAGCACCAGCTTCGGCGCTGCTGGTGAAGACAAACCCCGAAGCTGAGGCCGAGGTTCGGGATGGAGACGTGATCACGTTCGGAACCAACACAGCCAAGTATAGGTGTGTCGTTACTTGCAGGCAGTGTGATGCCATCGTCCCATACCATCCCCTTGGCAGTGTGTCACCTCCTAACCGGAATTTGCTCATGCCATCGTCCCATACCATTCATGCCTGGGTTTGGGGATGAATGGTGGATCCGTGGTTTCTCATTCGTGGTTTCTCATTCGTGGTTTCTCATTCGTGGTTTCTCATTCGTGGTTTCTCATTCGTGGTTTCTCATTCGTGGTTTCTCTCTCTGCACCAAGCCCTCCCCTCTCAGCCTTCCTGCCATTTTCACAACCCCACCCCCTCCCTCCCTAAAGCCCACACACACCACGATCAGTTGAGTCTATCTCCTTCCTGAGTCTGAACTTGGTCCAACGGACCAGCTATTTGCTCTTCCCCATGACTCCATCCATGACATGACATGACATGACATGACTGTCGGTTGTTGAGTCTTCCCCAAAGCTTTTTCATGAGCGTGCGCATGCTCTTATCTTATGGAGCGTCTGTCTGCTGTCTCCCACCCACACTGGCAGGGTGCGGGGTGCATGCGTCTTTAAGGTGCACACAGGGTGAAGGTGCCTTAACAAACCCTGTGTGCCATGCCATGCCATGCCATGCCATCCATCCATCCGCCCTCCCATTCTGATTCCCCCTGCTCCTGGCAGGGTGTCATTCCTCCCTTTGGCCGTGTGCCTACCACCCTCAGCCTTCGCAGCAGGGGAGAGGGAGCAGTGGGTACAGAAGGCCACTGACTGCGGTGCGTGGATTAGTATTCTCCATTCCTCCCCTGCCTACTGCTGCAGTGTGCTGCAGGGCTTGCTCTTGTAGGGATCGTGCAGTGCATTCGTTTCCTTTTCTTGCGCTTGGCCCCTCTTTAACCTTCTTTGCCGTGATCTAATCTGATCTGATCTGATCTGATCTGATCTGCTCTGCTCTGCTCTGCCCTGAATTCTTTAACATTCTCCTTAACCTCATAAGTATGTGGTCTGTACCATAGCTGACCTCCCGAATCAGACCGCACTGCCCATCTGTTGCTGGTTGAGAAAGGCCTTGAGAACGCCTTGCATCGATCCTTCTCTCCCTCAAGCCTCTCAAGGATAGGCAGTCCTCATGTGTCAATAGGGTGCCCACCTTTATCACTTGTTCCCCACTCATCCTTCCGTGCTTTCTGTCTGTCACATTTTCTTCCCATTTCTCCCCCTTCTCCTCCTCCTCCTCATTCTTCTCCTCGTTCTCCTCCTCCTTCCCTTCCTCCTCCCTACCCATTAACTTCCATCCGCAGGCCTGCCATCCTCGCCAACGTGGCAACCCTGGACCACACACCTCGTTGTGCCACATGGCGCAACGGTGGACCGCCACATCATCTCTGCTGCAGCAGCAGCTACTGCTACCCCCACTACTGCTGCAGACCCGGCTTCTGCTTCTGCTTCTGCCGCTGCTGCTGGGCCTGTCTTTGGGACTGCCACAGAGGGTTATGCCACTCTGCCAGCAGGTGGTGACACGCAAGGGCGTGCAGTGGTCTTGACAGCATGGCTTGATGCTGTGAGTGACCGTGCCCTGGTGTAACTGTCTGTCAGGGACGGATTCTGGAGTGAAGGGGCAGGGTAGGGTTGGGGACTTTGTCAGAGCACGCTCTCAAACGCACACACGCAGGCACGTACGCAGGCATGCACGCAGGCACGTACGCAGGCATGCACGTAGGCATGCACGCAGGCATGCACGCAGGCATGCACGCAGGCATGCACGCAGGCATGCACGCAGGCATGCGCGCACGCACGCACGCACGCACGCACGCACGCGCGTGCACCCACCCACACACACACACACACACACACACACACACACACACACACACACGCACACACACACAGGCAGGCGTGCACACACACATGCGCCACACCCATATACTCCGAGTCTCCAGTCTCAACTCTTCTTGCACTCACTCCATCCACTTCCCGTTTCCACTCCCTCCCATCCCCTTCTTCCTCCACTTCCCCACCATCCCCATCCTGCGTCCCCTACCTGCCGTGTCCATGCACACACCGCGCAGGTATCTTCCCTAAAGCCTCTCAGCGCACCCATCCCGTCACCCACCGCCTACGCCCCTCGTCTCTGGATGCCTGCTTCTGTCGCCCTGCGCCTTCCCTCTCCTCCTCCTCCTCCTCCTCCTCCTCCTCCTCCTGCTGCTGCTGCTACTGGCGTGCAAGGGAGTCAATCAGGAGACAGAGAAGAGCCAGCGGGGGGTGAGGGGTTTTCTGGAAGGGAGAGGGGGGAGGGAGGAGCAGGGGAGGAGGAGGGAGAGGAGGTGGTGCTGGGTGTGGCGGAGGATCGGCAGAGGGTGTTTAGTGATGTGCTCTTTGTCTCTTGCACACGGGATGATGAGGTGAGTGAGTGAGGGAATGAGTGAGAGTGAACTGAATGAGCTGAGTTGCATCGCCATCCACATGCCCTCTTCGTGGGAGCCCCCTCGCCCTGCTATTCTCCCCTGTGCGCTGCTGCTGTAGCCTTTCTCTTGCCCTGGTTTCCTTTTTTCAAAACGTGTGTTGCTCGTCCATTCTCTCTCTCTCTTGTGTGTGTGTGTGTGTGTGTGTGTGTGTGTGTGTGTGTGTGTGTGTGTGTGTGGTGTATGTGTGTGTGTGCGTGTTTGTGTGTGTGTGTGGAGGGGTGTTGTGCGTGCGCAAGCATGCATGCGTGCCGGCGTGTATGTATGGCTTTCTGTGTGCATCTGTGTGAGTGTGTGTGTGTATCCGTGTCTGTGTGTGTGTGTGTGTGTCCGTGCATGCATGCATGCATGCTCACGAGCACAGTACCACCCACCAGTGCTACTCTCTCTTATCACTTCATGTGGCGGCCAGGTTCAAACCATCCCCCCAGCTGCCTCCCACCTCCCAGCCTCCTCTCGCTCCCTCCTCTGCTGGTTACCGGCACTCACCAGACCTGCTTCCTCCTCCTCCCCTTCCCCCCCCTCTCCCCCTTCGTCCATACCACCTGCACCCACTCCCGCCCTGGCGAAAGCAACGAGGAAAATTTCAGCCAGGGCAGCAAAAGCAGCAGCAACCAAAGCAGCAAAAGCCGCTGCTGCTGCAGCAGCAGCAGAAGCAGAAGCAGAAGCAGCAGCAGCAGCAGCTGCCGCCGCAGCAGCAAGAGCAGCAGCAGCAGAAGTGTCCACACTCCCTCCCCCACCTGCTGCTCTCTCCCTGCGAGTAGCCTTGCTGCACAAAGTGATAGCTGCTGCTCTCAAGGGGGCGATTGGCAGCTGGGAGGAGGTGACTGCTGCTCCTGAATGGCCCCGAGAGGTGGGGAAGGCAGCAGGGACGGCTGGGGACGGAGCAGGCATTGATTTGGACGAGGCTGATACTGGTGAGAATGGAGATATGCTGTTGATGATGCACTGCTTTGGTGGGTGGGTGGGTAAGTGGGTAGGTGGGTGTGGGAGTGGGTGTGGGGTGGGTAGATTACGAAGAATTTTCAGAAACCACTCACAAAAGGGAAGGCTGAGGACGGAGCAGCCTGTCCTTTGGACGAGGCTGATACTGGTGAGAGTGGACATGAGCTCTTGACTGATGCGGTGGATTGGTGGGTGGTGGTGGGTAAGTGAGTGGGTGGTGGTGGGTAAGTGAGTGGGTGGTGGTGGGTAAGTGAGAGGGTGGTGGTGGGTTAGTGAGTGGGTGGTGGGTATAGCAGGCCCTTTCATCCTCCTTGTTCCTTTTGAGGCGCCCTCTAAGTCATCTCCAATACAGAGCAACACAAGGTAAGGCAGGCAGACCTTTTCTTGCAAGACAGACCACCTCGTTGCATTGCCAGCCAGCATCGCAGAGGATGGCGCTGCAGATATTTGACTTAAACGTCTGATGGAACATACTTCATGCTCTTTTTTTTTTTCATTTCAGCAACCCCGTGCTTTCGTCGATGCTTCCCACATTGACAGTGGCAAAGGCAGTCACAGTGACAGCACCACAGGGGTTAGTTGACTTTTGAGTCGACTCAAAGTCAAGTCACAGTGACAGCACCACAGGGGATAGCTAGCTCTTCTGGCTTTTGAGTAGAGACGTCTCTGCAACCCTTTCCCACGGCAGTGGTCCAATCTGATTCTGCCCTCACCGACAGTGGCAATGACAGTAACCGCACCACAGAGGATGGCGCTGCCCCGCCTTTTGCAATGTCTCGAACTGTTTTGAGACGTCTCAAAACAACACTTTTATCGGATGGCGCTGCCCCGCCTTTTGTGATGTCTCGAACTTCATTGATTCCATCCTTTCACCTCTACTACCCCATGTCTTTGCAGTGGTCTTGTCAGATGGTTCCCACTCCGACAGTGGCAATGACAGCGACAGCACCACAGAGGATGGCACTGCTGCCTTTTGCTGTGTCTCAAACTTCATTTATCCCATCCTTTCATCTCCACAACCCTGTGTCTTTGCAGTGGTCTTGTCAGATGGTTCCCACACCGACAGTGGCAATGACAGCGACAGCACCACAGAGGATGGCAATGCTGCTGCTGCTGGCGGTGCTGCTGCTGCTGGTGGTGCTGCTGTTGCTGCTGCTGACAGCGATGCCGGAACAGAAAACGAGTCTTCCCCAACCTTCCGCACGGCACCAAGCGCTGCAGAAGAGGTAGAGACAGATGCAGTAGCAGCAGAAGGACAGGTAGGGGCGACGGTGGAAGTACAGGAAGTGTCCTCACATGTTGTAGAGAGGCTGGCACCCCGTGTGGGGGATGGTGGCGGTGATGGTGGTGGTGGTGGTGGTAAGAGGAAGAGGAATGCAGGCACAGAACTTGGAAAGGAGGTGCTTGCTCAGGCAAGAGAGGGGACAGAAGCAGGCGTAGGATTAGGAGTAGGGTTGGCAGGAGGTTCAGGGGCAAGAGCAGAAGCAGGAGAAGCAGAAGGAGAAAGAGAAGGAGCAGCATTGAACGGAGAAGTGGCACCAGCAGCCCTGAACCTAGCAGACCCTGCATCGCCAGTATCAACAGGAGCAGCAGCAGCAGCAAGAGGCAAGCGGTCGGGTGATGTTCGAAGCTTCTTTTCCCGGAAACTTCCCACCACTGCTTCTCCTGCTGTTTCTGCTGCTGCCCGTGCTGCCTGTGTAAAAACGGAAGCAGGAGGAGAAGGCGGAATGGGAGGGGAGGAGCGAAAAGCGAGTGAGAAGAGCAAGAGTAAAGGCTTGAAGAGTAGCGACGGGGATGGAGGAGCAGGAAGTGCAGCAAAAGGAGGAGGAGGAGGAGGTGGTGGTGGTGGTGGTGGTGGTGGTGGTGGTGGTGGTGGTGGTGGTGGTGGTGGTGGTGGTGGTGGTGGTGGTGGTGGTGGTGGTGGTGGTGGTGGTGGTGGTGGTGGTGGTGGTGGTGGTGGTGGTGGTGGTGGTGGTGGTGGTGGTGGTGGTGGTGGTGGTGGTGGTGGTGGTGGTGGTGGTGGTGGTGGTGGTGGTGGTGGTGGTGGTGGTGGTGGGAATGCCGGTTCGCTTCCACCTGACGTGATTAACAAGGTGGTTTTTGTCAAAGGGCTAGTTGTGGTCCCGTCTTCCCCACACTCTCCTACTGCTACGGCCTTGGGACAGCAGCAGCAGCAGCAGCAGCAGATGCACAGCATGGCCTTCACTCCGCTCCCTCCCGCTGCTGCTGCTGCTGCCGGTGCCACGCAGGCAACTCAGTTCCCGTCTGCCTTACCCAACTTCAAGCGATTCAGAAAGGTTGGACGTGTTTTTTTTCTTTCTTTTTTTCCCTCGTCCTCTTTGTTTTCTTTCATCTCATCCGAGCAGCAATTGACGGAGGATAGTATGGCTCCGCTGAGTGAAGCTTGTCCGTCTCGCCACTTGTGCTTGTGTTTGCTTATTGCCGTGTGCCGTACATTCTTGTCTCTCCCTTGAGTTTGCACCACTCACACGACTGACACGAAGGGCACCACTGGTACCACTGGCACCACTGGCACCACTGGCACCACTGGCACCACTGACCATTCTCCCCTGATCTGCACACTACTGCGTGTGTTCAGGTGTGGGGGGCACCGCCAGGCAACACCCCTGGAATCCTCGTACAATACTCTCCCAAGCCATACCGGTATGCCCTTTCTCAACTCTTGAGGCTCCTCACAAGTACCGATACGCTCTTGCTTCACCTGATTGTCACCTGATTGCTTGATACACCTGATTGCTTGCTAGCCCAGATGTAGCTTCCTAGCCTGCCTTTCGTCCTGCTTTCCCATGCTAAATATTCTCGCAGGTCTGTTCCTCCTCTGCTGTCGTCATAATGCGGTTAACCTGCCCTTCCTCCATGTCTTGAACCCTCACCTCGAGATGGAGTCCGCTTTCCACATAATATAAAACCATCTTCATGTGGATCTTCTTCCATCATGCAGAGGGCCTTCGGACAACATGGAGAGCTACATTGAGAAGCAAAAGAGGAAGCGCCAGCAGGAAGCCGCAGCGGACGAGATCTTTAACAATTATAAGGTGACGATGCATAATATGATAGTGTGCTTTTTCTTGATTTTTCAACTCTCTTTTTTGGATGCTGCATTGAGACTGCTGAACCCTCTGCTTGCAGTTAACTGCTTATGTGTTGAAGTGTATCTGATTTGACTATCCTTTCCCCCATGTTTTCATCCATTGCCTGTCCACAGGGGAAGAAACGAAAACTTACAGCAAATCAAGTAGCAACAGAAGGGTTATTTGCCCTAACTCAGCGGAAGCATCGCTAGCATTGTAGTTGTGCTTCACTGACAGTTCAGTAAAGGTGGCATGCGCAGTGTGTTGAAAGAGTGGTAGATATTCAATTCGGCCTCTTGTCATGTAAATTGGGCCAGGATTGCTGTGAAATTATCCGCGCCATTCTGTTGTCAACGCTTTCGCGCTGGTGAACTGATTGGTCGATTGATGAACCTCTGTGCCTGAGGATGTGCACCACGGCTTTGAACGTTTCTAAATTAGCTACATGTTTAAGCTGCTTATGTTCCTACATATTGTGTAACATGCTCTTGTAACGCTAATTGTCGCTAGAGCTCGCTTCGTCCCACCTCCTCCGCTCCACCCCTTCACGCACACCTGTCGTCGCACTGCTTGCCTCTACTCTAGAGCCTTTCCCCCGCTACACTGTTCCGCCGCCTCCATATCCCCCCGCAGCTTCCGTCTTTCCCGCCGTCGTCACCGCCTATCACCCGCCTGCCTCCACCTTACGGATCCGCCAAATCCGCCATTGTGTAACCTTGTTTTTCTGTTCTTCAAAGCTTGCTGGCTACCCTTCGCTCGTTTGCTTTTCGCCAAGGAAAGTTTCTTTTCCGCACGCTTACGCTCCCCAGTGCTGCTGGCTTAGATTCTCTCTTGTTCGGTTCCGTGACAGTCTGAGCTGCTGTACTCGATTTAAGCGTATCCGTTAGCAGCGTCATGGCGTTCATTATGGAGTTCGTGGAGCACTTTATCCGCGCGGGAATGGAAGATCCGCGCGATCGGGACGAACGCGCCGCCGCTCGAATCCGGGTGAGCAGCATAGCGTTCCTCTCTGGAGCCAGGGAAGCATGAAGGCTGAACGCCGATGTCGAGCGAAGGTCGAGCGTTGTCGAACTAAGTTTGAGTTAGGTTAGGTTCAAAGTTGAGTATCGCGCACTGATTCCATCGGCTGTAGCGCATTTGATTCAATGACTATTGCTTGTCGGCTCCACTAGCGGGAGAGGTGAAGGGCGACAGGTGCACGGGGAAGTGGGAGTGGACCAGGTTACAGGATCAGGTCCGAGGAGCAGCCACGTGGCTACGGTATGTCAGCCAAGTGGGTATATGAGCGACAGGGGAGTCGTACTAACGACTTTGTATTTGAGCGTCATGTGTGAAAATTAGGGTTACCTTGTGAGGGACAGAGGCAGGGATGCTGTGCTGGGGAGAAGGGCAGGGAGGCTGGAAGGCAGGATGGAAGGGATCCTGAGCGGGTGGGACGGACGGAGGGAAAGAGGGAGGAGGAAGGGAGAGGAGGTGGAAAGCTGGGGGAGGGGGGGAGAGAAGAGAGTGAGGGAGGTAGGCTTGATAGCAATGCTTGAAATCGCTCATCTTAGATTCTTTTTGTCTGGCTGCTGCTGTGACCCTTCACTGTGTGACCATGGTTTGTTCGAACCATTAAGGACCCCCTTTTCTACACTGTACAGACCGACTGACCAAAAGTCCTTCAATTTTTTTTGCTGTGGTTATTTCGTTGGGACAAGGGAGGGGGAGATGGGGACATGAATTTTATATTTCTGTACCTTCTCACCCTACCTCCCTTCCCCTTCCCTTCCCTCCTGTTCCCTTCCCTTCTTTCCCTTTCCGTCACTCCTGTTTTTTCCCCCCATCCTTTCCTTCCCTTCCGTTTCATCTCCTCCCCGCCTATGCACTTCCCCTCCTTCCCATCTCCCCCTTCCCTCCACATCCCTTCCCTTACCCTTTGCCCGGCCTTGCCCTCTCCTAACATCCCCTCCTCTCCCCCCCTCCCTTTACCTCCCTTTACCTCCCTTCCCTCCCAATCCTCCCCTTCCCACCCTATTCACCTTCTCGCAGCAAGCCAAGGCCAAGTGTGAGGAGCTGAAGAGCATGTGGGCACACCGGCTGACTTTGGAGTCGACTCAAAGGTCTTCCCATCACCTTCTCTTACCTTCCATATTCTCCCTCTCCCGTCCCATCCACCTTTGTGCAGCAAACCAAGGCCAAGTGTGAGGAGCTGAAGAGCATGTGGGCGCACCCAGTGAAGGCGTATGGGTACTGGGGTAGCGACAAGTTCAACCACAAGTACCTCATGGACCTCAAACACAGCAACCTCTCCGGGCGGCAGGACCCCTATGACAAGGTGACCCGCGTGGCAAATGCTGCCACCGAGGCGCAGTGAGGGGAACGTTGGGGCGTGTGCGAGTTTTACGGTAGTTGCTGATCTGTGGTATGGTAGTTCCTTGTAGGATCCATGAAGGACACCAGCTGTAATTGTAAAAGTAAAATCGCACTGGGCGCATTTTATGTGCATGACATACCAGTCTGTCTGAGTTGTGCTAGCGGCAACTTGGGGCCTGTGGAAATATACTACTTAAACATGCATTGATATGTATTCAACATACACTTAACCCTATATAAATGATGAATACCACGCCAGATAGCCTCCGTAAACTGTCGCCCGTCCCACCCTCAGCCTGAGCTGGTTCGGCTCTCACAGAATCAGCCTCGGCTTTCCTTTTCAACCAATCGGGTGCTCCCAGTCTCGCGGGAAGCGTTCGGTTTCCCAACCACGTGCGCGTCGCAGAGCTCTCAATGGCTAGGTTGGGTTTGTTTCCGCGCTAGTAGAACGCACCCCTTGTTCAGTACAGCAGATCGGTTAACAGCGGTGATGTGTGGCGAAAACGTTTTTCCCTTTCACTGCTTGTTGCTTGCACTTGTTTCGGCTTCTCCTACTACTCCCTCTTCCAGCCACTGCATTCCCAATCGTGCCACGTGATGCACATGGTTCACACCAAAGCTTCTCTTTTCTGAGATCGTGTGGTTTCCTGCTTGTACAGTTTTTACATCATCGCTTCCATTCCAGAGAAACTCCTTTTCCTTCTCTCAACAGATCCCGTCGGCTCTTGTGGTGTCGTCGTTTCATCGATTTCCCTGACGTCACCACCCAGAAAACCAGGAAACAGCTTGCTAGTTATACGCGGAACGTGTAACTCAACCGCCGCAATAAGCTCCTAAACTCAATGGCGGAATCCGAGTCGCAAGGGGCCGCCAAATCGCGGTCGAAGCAGCCCCGCGACGACATTTGGTTGCGCGTGGAGTTCCCAGGGGAAGACCTATCCGACGCGATTCGCATCCGAGGCGCCACGCTCGGCGCAAACCCGACGATCCTAGACCTAAAAGAGCGACTCGCTGAGAGCATTGCATCGTCCGGCTCGGAAAGCATACCCGTTCATCGCGTCTTCGTGACGCTCCCGGCGGCGCCGGGCGCGGCGGGAAATGCGGAGGAGGCCCGACAGCTGTCGGCGTCGGATTCGCTGAACGAGCTTCCCGAGGGCGCGGGTGGGCCCAAGTGGCCGTTGATCGCGAGGGTGCGAGGCCCAGGTTAGTTGACGGAGATGAGGGAGATGAGGGGGGTGAGGGAGTTGACGGAGTTGATGGAGTTGACGGAGCTGACGGAGCTGACGGAGTTGACGGAGTTGACGGAGGGAGATGAGGTTCACGAGGGAAAACGAATGCAAGTGTTGGGGCTGGAAGATGGGGAAGAGGGGAGAGGGGGGTGCGTGCTTTGCGCAGGGTTGCTTGTGTGGGATCTGGGGAATGTCATGGGTGGTGTTGTCGCATGGTGTAGTGGTGGCCGGTGTAGCGTGGGGAATGTCCACTTTTGAAAGGGTTTGGCAGGCGTTTGGAGAAGTGGTTGGTGTTTTCGTAATATGGGGACGCATTTGAATCCATTTGAAGTCAATGCGACCTGGGGAGAATGCAAGAATCTGGGGTTAATAAGAAAAAGACTAACCTTGTTCCTCCCCCCTCTTTTTTAACCCGGTGCCTTAACCTTGTTCGCTCCCACCCTCCCGCCCAGCAGCAGCAGCAGCAGCACCTGCAAAGCCTGTTCCAAAGAAGCCGCAGACTCTTTTCGAAAAGGGCTTGGTGGGAAAAGACGAGCCACCACAGATCCGAAATGCCATGGTGAGAGGGATGAAGGCAAGGACTTGCTGGGATTGAGTGAATGCTGGGTGGGTGGATGGATGGGTGGGTGGGTGAGTGGGTGGGTGGAGGCAAACCTGAAAGAGGGCATCAGGTGGCACACAGGTACGTTTCGAGATGCTGATTGGAGGAGGCTTGCCAACTTGGGAACGGACAGGGTTTCATGAGGGATGAATAGGGAACACACACTGGATGCTACATGGAGAAGCATACCACTGATGCACTTCTTTTGCTGCTGTCCTGTTCAAGCTTGCAGTTTCTGTTTTGTGACTCTGAGCCTGGCTTGAGGCCTGTCCCTACCAATGTCTGGCGCTGCTATATCGACCTGCGCTAACTGGGCTGCTGTGGGGCTGCTGTGGGGCTGCTGTGGGGCTGCTGTTGGGCTGCTGCTACTGCGTGGTGCAGCTGCTGAGATTATCAATTTCAACCCGTTCATCCTGTCCTCTCACACTTCCCCTTGAGTCTGCTCCAAACCCGTCTACCTGCACCACGCTCCCCTATACATGATCTCATCTCTCCTCATTTCTTCTATGCCCTCATCAGGACCTACGTGAGCTCTATCCGGGAGGGGTGCTCCCCAGATCAGGCGTCAAGGATGAGAACTTTTTCATCAAGCTGCTCAAATTGGCACTGGTGTGTGCTCTGCTGGTGGGGATAGCAGCAGCGGCCATGTACCTGCTTGGGGAGGTGCTTCCTAAGTACTACAGTAATGGGTACACTCGGCCGCCGTGGGCTCCGGATATGTCAGGAATGCATACAGAGTTGTGATTGGAGTGCTTATGATGAGTAAAAAAATCTCTTTACTTATTTGATTAATTTGGAGAAATTTGTAATTCCCTTGGACTGCATAGGATGCTTGTTGTCGTAACTTCAAGGAACAGGGCTGAGACGTTCCAACCAGGCTAGACTTGTTGTACCACTTGATGTAAGTAGTAATTAGTGGAAATTCATAAGTTTGTTGTGTATCGATTCCTGGCCGATCTGCTTGTTGATGTGAATGTTGAGGCATTAAAACACCCAAACCAAAAGTTATCGTAGTATGCATTTGAGCTGAAGCTAATGCCTTTAGTGCGATTTCCCTGGTATCGAATCACTACACCAGTGAGGTTCGCCTCGCCCACTGTCGAGCAGAGCAGGGCACACCTGGACCTGGAATCCCCGTAGCCAGTCCACCACCCAGCCAGAATCGGAGCCTCCTCGTTGCATGCTTCCAGAAGATTTGCTCTTTGTCGTGAACACAGCTCAGCTCCGCTCGATTTGGCTCGGCTCAGCTGGGCTCGGCTCGGCGTGTTGTCCCTGAATCCGCGATACAAGCATAGATCAGTGTCGCGGGAGGGCAGCATACAGGGCAGCATACGGTACGTTAGATACACGCCAGCGCACGTAGCACCCACCCTGCACATCTCGCTCACGAGTCACACAAGCCACGAGACGACAAACGTACACGAGGCAAAGGTTCTAGGGGAGGGGAGGAGACTCGGGGAGAGTGCGGTATGAGGGAATAGTCCACTCAACACCGTCTGACCACATTCAACCATACAAAACCACACACCGCACCACCCCACACACGCCAGCACAACACCACCTGGCGAGTAAGAGATTACCCTCTTCCGGTCAGAGCCGTACGATCCAGGCTTAGATCGGTTGCCCGCTCCTCGCCACGCGCCAAGTCCCTTCGCAGTTGATCTCTTTCCGCCGTCCCCGCGGCTCGTCTTCGCGGGATAAACTCTAGGTAAAGCACTCGCTTTCCTGTCTTACCCGGATTCTTTCCTTCTACCTTTCGTTCACGCTGCTCGGGAGGAGACAGCTCGAAATCCGTCGACCTTCCGTCCGCGCTCCGTCAACTGTTCACGGCCAGATCTGGTAGTTCCTCGCAGCTGCGTGCTAGTCCGCTAGTGTTTGGGGAGCGGAGAGCCGTTATAAACTGCGGAAACGACGGACACGAAAGAAACGAGCGAGAGAAAAACCTCAGAGACGAGACAAGAGGTGGAGACTAGGCGCGGGATATTCGCGGCAAACAGGCGAAACCTCTTGCAGTGGGCGACTCGAAAGCCGCAGGGAAAGCCGGCACGCTCCACCCTTGGCGTTTAAAAAACCGCAGAAGAAACCCGAAATGCGGCGGGCTTTCAAACGCCGCGTATGCCCGGCTGGCGGCATGCTCGGCGATGCGCAAGTGCCGATCTTCCGGCCGACCCTAGAGGAAATGGCGGCGGGATTCGAGGCTTACGTGGAGCGGATCGAAGCCGAGGCGTGGGAATACGGGATCTGCGTGATTGAACCCCCACCTGAGTGGCAGCCGCGATCACGTGGGTACGATGACGTGGAGGATTGGACGATTCCGAAGCCGATTAAACAGCACGTGTCCGGCAGTCGCGGCGTGTTTCAGTCGATCCACGTGGAGACTAAGTCGGTCACGGTGCGCGAGTTTCGTGAGGCGGCGCACTTGAAGGAGCACCGCGGCCCGTGGGGGGACGACGGGGATATCTGCTGCTTGGGGAACGCGACTCACGCCGCTAGCGCCGCTTGCGCTACTGACGGTACTGACGCTGCAGAATCTTCTGGTAGCGGCTGTAGCGAAGGGGAGGAGGCTAGTAAAGGGGATGGAGAATCGACGAGCGATGTTCGTTGTGGGGAGAGCGGAGACGCCAGTAGGGGGGATGTGGAGCAGCAGCAGCAGCAGCAGCACTGTAGCAGCAGCCGGGGCGACGGTGGCGGTGACGGTGACGGTAACGCTGGTGAATGCAACCAAAGCAAGCACAGGAAAAAGAGCGAGAAATGCAAGAGGAGCAAGCAGAGGAAGCAGTGCCGGCACGTGGGCGGGAAGCTAACCCTAGCGGACATGCAGACGTCCATCGAGCGCAGCTTCTGGAAGAACGTCACGCACTCGCCGCCGCTCTACGGCGCTGATGGGCTCGGCTCGTTCTTTGACGCTGACGTGCAGGTGGGTGCTGCTGGTGATGCTGGTGGTGGATTGGAATCGGGGGTGGGGGTGGTAAGGGTGGGTGGTAGAGGTGATAATGGTAAGGGTTGACTTTTGAGTAGTTGAATTTCAAGTCAACGCGCCGCCGCTCTACGGCGCTGATGGGGTCGGCTCATTCTGTGGCGCTGACGTGCAGGTGGGTGGTTGCTGGTGGAGGTGGTACGGATGGTGGGAGGGGTGCTGATGGTAAGGGTTGATTTTGAGTGGGTTGACTCTACATTCATCTCGCCGCCGCTCTACGGCGCCGACGGGCTCGGCTCGTTCTTTGACGCTGTCGTGCAGGTGGGTGGTTGTGCTGGGGTTGATGGTGGTGGTAGTGGTGCTTGGGGTGGTGGTGGTGGTAGTGGTGCTGGTGTTGATTGTAAGGGTTGAAAATTGGGTGGGTTGACTCGTTGACTCTAAAGTCAACGCGCCGCCACTCCACGGCACTGATGGGCTCGGCTCGTTCTTTGACGCTGATGTGCAGGTGGGTGGTGGGTGGGGTTGGTGCTGGCGGTGGTGCCGCTGCTGCTGGTAATGGTGGTGAGAGGCATGTTGATGGTATGAGTTGAGTTTGAGTTGGGCGACTGACTTTAAAGTCAACTCGTCGCTGCACGCATATTAGTGTGCTGCTGCTGCTGTTGCGCAGTGGTTTTGCTTGGCATGGCATGGTGTTGTGCTATAGTGTAACCCCCCCACCCGCATGTGTGCGTGGGAGGTTGGAGGGTGTGTATACGAGTGCAGGTGTGCGCTGCACCTGTCACATGTGTCACTGTGCGTGCGCAGGTGTAAGCGTGTACGAGCGTGCGTGTTCTTCTGTGCATGTTACCGTGTGCGCATGTTACCATGCGTGCATATCAGCGTGTGTGTGTGTGTGTGTGTGTGTGTGTGTGTGTGTGTGTGTGTGTGCGTGCGTGCGTGCGTGTGTGTGTGCGTGCCAGTGTGCGCGCGCGCGCGCGCGTGTGTGTGTGTGTGTGTGTGTGTGTGTGTGTGTGTGTGTGTGTGTGTGTGTGTGTGTGTGTGTGTGTGCACGCGCGCGCGCGCATATTAGTGTGCGCGCATAGGTCATGAGTCTCCACAGGGGTATGCGCATACAAGAGCTTGAGTTCACACGCGTGCGCGCGACGCGAGCACGAGTTCGAGTGCAAGTGTGAGTGAGCGTCCCTCAGTCAGTCAGGCCAAAACAGACTGGGAACACGTTCAGATAAGCTAACCAGCCGTTTCAGTCAACCTTCTTACTTCACTCACGCCGTCCGCCACGTGCTCTTCCCCATGTGCTCTTCCCCTTGTTCTCTTCCCTCTTTCCCCCTTCCCCCAGGGCTGGAACGTGGGGTGCCTATCAACGCTTCTGTCGCGCACGCTGGAGACAGCAGGCATGCAGATACCAGGGGTCACGACGCCGTATCTCTACTTTGGCATGTGGCGCTCGCTCTTCGCATGGTGAGAGGGGTGGGAGGGAGGGAGGGAGGGAGGGAGGGAGGGAGGGAGGGAGGGAGGGAGGGAGGGAGAGGGCAGGGATGGGCGAAGGGAGGGGCAAGGGATGTGTACCGCGTGTGCCGTCTATTTAGATACCAGGGGTCACGACGCTGTATCTCTACTTTGGAATGTGGCGCTCGCTCTTCGCATGGTGAGAGCGAGGGCGGTCAGATGGAAAGGAGGCGGTAGGGAGGAGGAAGAAAGGCGGGAAAGGAGGGGAGAAGGGGGGGGGAGAAAAGAAAAGTAGGCAAGGGACGTGTAGGCCGTGGCGTGTGCCATTTCATGCAGATACCGGGAGTCACGACTCACGACGCCGTATCGGTACTTTGGTATGTGCCGCTCCGCTCGCTCTTTGCATGGTGAGAGCGCGGAGCGGGTGGGTACGGAGGACATGGACCTGTAGAGAGTGTGCGTGAGTGTGATGTGATGTGATGTGATGTGATGTGATGTGATGTGATGTGATGTGATGTGATGTGATGTGATGTGATGTGATGTGATGTGATGTGATCTGATGTGATGTGATGTGATGTGATGTGATGTGATGTGATGTGATGTGATGTGAACTAGCTGCACTCTGGTTTGGTTGCGCCGAGCCCAGGTGTCTCTCTATTTTGACTCAGAAACAAGCTGTCTGCTTACTAACGGCTTGTCTGTTAACGCGTACGTGCGTGCATGCATGCATGCAGGCAGGCAGGCACACTGAGGCGGAGGGCATGGACCTGCCGTACAGTGTGAACTAACTACCTACTTGCCGTGGAAATGTGACTCGATGGGCAACAACTCTTGCTTCATTGCCTGCTTGTCTATCCGTGCGTGTGCGTGTGTGCATGCAGGCATGCAGGCACATGGAGGACATGGACCTATACAGTGTCAACTACCTGGTCTTTGGCTTTTGAGTCGACTCAAAAGTCCACTTGTCCTGTCTGTGTTTGTATCGTATGCGTGCATGTGTGCAGGCACACGGAGGACATGGATCTATACAGTGTCAACTACCTGCACTTTGGAGCTCCCAAGTTCTGGTGAGTGTCATATTCTGGTGAACGCTCAAGTGAGGGCAAGTTGGGGTGAGGGCAAGTTGAAGTGACCCCTTCATTCCCCCCCAACCGTTCCCCTTCTTTTCCGCCCCGCTTCGCCCCCCACATCTCCCACCTTGTACTCACCTCACCCTGTTCCAAGGCACGCTTGAGTGGCTGCTTCCTCTAAGTCAATCAACTCAACGCAATCCCCCCCTCCCCCTCTCCCCCCTCGCTTCCCACCTTTCCTTCCTCCCCCCCCCTCTCCTTCCCCGTCCCCCCTCCCTGTTCCCCCCAGGTACGTGGTGCCTCCCGATGCCAAGGCACGCTTTGAGCGCCTGCTGCAGGGGCTGCAACCTGCGCGCTTCAAGCAGTGCCCCGAGTTCCTGCGCCACAAGGTGGGGGTGGGGGTGGGGGTGGGTTGCAGTGAGTGGGTGAAGGTGGGTGGGGGTGGGTATAGGAGCACATCTGGCTTCTCAACCCGCGCGGTTCAAGCAGTGCCCCGAGTTCCTGCGCCACAAGGTGGGGGTGGGGATGGATGGGAGTGGGTGGGAGTGGGTGGGTGGGAGGAGTGGGTGTGGGGGGGGTGGGGTGTGGGGAGGGGCTCTTGTGGGCGTGGAGTGTGTATGGGGTGGGTGGGTGGGCGCGCCTCTCACTGTGGGTGGGTGGGTGGGCGCTCCATACAGCAAGTCTGTGCCCTTTTGAGAATTCTCGCAAGTCTGTGCCCTTTTCCCCCTTCCCGCTCCCTCCCTCCCTCCCTCCCTCCCTCCCTCCCTCCCTCCCTCCCTCCCTCTCACCCACACACTCCCGTCCCCTCTCGCTCGCTCGCTCCCGTGTGTGCTACCAGGAGACGCTGGTGACCCCACAGCTACTGCAGCGGCATAACATCCCGTTCCTCAAGGTGCTACAGCAGCCACGCCAGTTCGTCATCAACTTCCCGGGTAAGTCCAGAAGATCAGAAGCCCACCCACCAGCAGCCGCAAAACCATGGACTGCTCTACTCAAGCATGCCTTTTGAGACGTCCTTAAAAGTCAATGCCATGACCTGGTGGTTCTTAGGCGCGTTAGCAGCACAACATCCCGTTCCTCAAGGTGCTACAGCAGCCGCGCCAATTGGTCATCAACTTTTCGGGTAAGTGCGTGCATGCATGTGACCATAAACAGTCGCCAAGAATGGCATGGCAGGTGCATGTAATGGCTATGGGTGCATCGCAAGTTACACTGCAGACGTGGTTGCGGTGCTGTGTTGTTCACCCCTGCATTCTCATTTATCCCTGTGCGTGTCTGTGCGCATCTGTGTGTGTGTGTGTGTGTGTGTGTGTGTGTGTGTGTGTGTGTGTGTGTGTGTGTGTGTGTGTGTGTGTGTGTGTGTGTGTGTGTATGTGTGTGTGTGTATGTGTGTGTGTGTATGTGTGTGTGTGTGTATGTGTGTGTGTGTGTCTGTGTGTGTGTGTGTGTCTGTGTGTGTGTGTGTATGTGTGTGTGTGTGTGTGTCTGTGTGTGTGTGTGTATGTGTGTGTGTGTGTGTGTGTGTGTGTGTGTGTGCGTGTGTCTGTGTGTGTGTGTGTGTGTCTGTGTGCATGCGGATGTGCAATTATGTATGCGCGCTGTGTGTGTGTGTGCGTGTGCATATGCGTGTGCGTGTGTATGTGCGTTTGATTGCATGTGTATGTGCCTGTGCATGTACATTTGTGTACATCTGTATGTGCGTCCAGGCGTGTACCACGCAGGCTTCAATCTGGGGTTCAACTGCGCAGAATCAACCAATTTCGCCACCAAACGGTGAGATTCGTTTCCTGTAATCCCTCCTGAAATCCCTCCTGAAATCCCTCCTGAGAGCCCTCGTGAAATCCCTCCTGAAAGCCCTTGCTGCCACTGCCGCACACGATTCTCCTTCCTCGCTTCTCCCCTCCTCAGCCACATTTTTTTCAATTGTTATTTTCTCCTAATTGCTTCTGAGCGCTCTTATAAGCGTTTTTCTCGCCCAAATCTCATTTTGATTCTCCCTCCCAAATCTCGTAGGAGGCAGTCCCTCGTTTTGCTCCTCCCCCTAACCACTCTGTACCTCCCCTCCTCAACCCATCCGATCCCTCCCCTCTCTCCTCTCGACACCCCTGTGCGAGCAGGTGGGTGCAAGTGGGCCTTAAACCCCGCACCTGCTACTGCATCGGTGACAGTGTGTGCAACGATATGGGGCTGTTTGTCCCCTCCCTCCGGCTCGCTCCTGATCCCATCCCATCCCATCTAATCTCCCCTCTCCCCTCCACAACCCCTGTGCGAGCAGGTGGGTACAAGTGGGACTCAAGGCGCGTCCCTGCTACTGCATCGGTGACAGTGTGTGCATTGACATGGGACTCTTTGTTCCCCCCCCTCCGCTCGGCTCACTCCTCACCCCATCCCATCCCATCTCCTCTTTCCCTCCCCTCCACAACCCCTGTGCGAGCAGGTGGGTACAAGTGGGACTCAAGGCGCGTCCCTGCTACTGCATCGGTGACAGTGTGTGCATTGACATGGGACTCTTTGTTCCCCCCCCTCCGCTCGCTCTCCTCTGCCCCGACAACGACTCCACCGCTCTGCACCACTCCGAATCTATAGCTGATGCTGCTGCTGGTGATGCCGCTGCTGATGCTGGTGATGCTGGTGGTTGTTTTCTGGGCAGCAATCTTGGGAGCTCTCAGGAATTGCAGCAGCAGCAGGGGGCGGAGAGCGATGGGTGTGGAGCAGAGGGAGAAGGAGCAGCAGTGGCAGGAGCAGCAGGAGCGGCAGGAGTGGAGCGGGTTGGGCTGGGAGCAAAGAAGCAGCCTCTGCGTCCTCCTGCTGCTGCTTCTGGGGGTGCTGCAGGTTCTGCCCTTGCTAGAGGGCAGAACGGTCGATTTGTGCGTGTTGCCAAGGCTGGAAAGGCAGGAGGAGGGAGAGGGGCGGCAGGTGCAAGGGGGGTGGGTGTGCTTCCGATAGTTTACCACCGAAGGCGAGTAATTAAAGTGCTGCTGCCGCAGCGACAGGCGCAGGCACAGAAGCAGGGGCAGGGGCAGGTTCGGGGAGGACAGGCTCGTGGGCAGGTTCGGGGGCAGGCTGGGGTGGTGGCCGGGGTGCAGGCTGGGGGGGGAGGTACGGATAATGGGCGGGAAGGAGGGGTAGGAGGACGCGGGGCGGGGTTGTGTGGAGAGGAAGGGGAAGGAATGACTGTTGCAGCGATTGATTTTGTGAGGAAAAAATATGTGAGGAAAGGAGCAGCAGGGGATGTGGGTGCAGGGAGTGAGAGTAGGGTTGAGGGTGCGCAAATAGGAGATGGGGTGGCAGGGAGGGGGGATGTCAGGGTAGGGGAGCTTGTGGGGGGAATAACAGGGATGGGGGCAGCAGGAGGAGGAGAGAGTGGGGAAGGAAGAATGAGTGTGTTAAGAGCAGAGGGGGCTCAGGGGGAGGGAGTGCAAGGGGAGGTTCAAGAGGGGGTTGAGGGGAGTATGGGCGGAGCAGGAGCGGGAGGCAAGAGGAAGCGGGGGCTGGGTGGAGGAGGGGGTGGAGTGGGCAGGACAGAGGGGTTGGAACCGGTTATTATGGTGAAACGAGTAAAAGGGACTAGTGGGGCTGGAACAGGGAGGGGAGGAGGGAGGGGAGGAGGGAAGAGAGGAGGGAGGGGTGGGAAGAAAGCGGGAAGGAGAGGGGGGAAAGGGAGAGGAGAAGGCGCAGCAGAGGTGGCAGGTGTGGAGCTACTTGGGGGAGTGGTGAGGGGTGCAGATGGGTGCGTGCTGCCCCTGCTGATAGTCGCCTGCCCTGCTGTTGCTGTGCCTCTGGGTAATACGGTGGGACCTAGGGTGGGGGGTAAGGCTTCTTTTGAGGCGCTTCAAAAACCTGCTGCTGCCGTGGCTTCAAGTGATATGGTGGGAGAAAGGATGGATACTGCTGCAGGAGATGCAGGTGGGGATGTGACTGGGTGTTTAGCCACAGGGGTTGTGAATAATGGGGCAAGCCGGGATTTGGGAGAGGGGGTTGTGAGGGAGGAACGAGGTGGGGCTGGAGCAGGGATGGAAGGAGCAGGGGCAGCTGGAGCAGTGGGGATTGGAAAGAAAGGGGTGAAGGGGACGAAAGGGGGGAAGAGGGGGAAGAAGGGAGTGAAGCGGAAAGTAGGGGGTAAGGCCATCAGGCATAAGCTTGGTGCTGGTGCTGGTGCTGGTGCTGGTGCAACAGCAACAGCAGTAGCTATACTGACATTAGCAGGAGCAGGGGCAGCAGCAGAAGCATATGTGGCAGATGTAGCAGCAGCAGGGGAAGGAGCAGCAGGAGAAGGAGCAGCAGGGGAAGGAGCAGCAGGGGAAGGAGCAGCAGGGGAAGGAGCAGCAGGGGAAGGAGCAGCAGGGGCTAAAAAGAGGCAGAAAAGAGCTGTGAAGCAGCCAGCAGGGGGAAGAATCCGGCTTTCACTTGGAACACAAGACGCAGCAGCAGAGGAAGCAGCAGAAGCAGCAGCAGCACAAGAAGCAGTACAAGACACAACACAAGAAGGCCTAGCCACAGCCGTCCCACTGCAGAGAGGCAACAAAGCAGGGCGCTCGGCTCAGGAACCTCTAGAGACAACTCAGAAGGCAGGAAGGACACTTGAGGAGCATCAGGAAGGGGGAGGTGAAGTGGCAGCGGCAGCAGCAGATGCACTGCCCGCAGGCCTGCGGTCGCTCCACTGCTCGCGGTGCAGAAGGGTTCGGATGGTTCCCCGACGTAACCCCCCTGCTTGGGTGGTTGACAGGGTTGTTAGGGATAGCAAAGGGAGAATAGGCACCTGGGGCGTGTATGGGGACAGGTGGAACCGAGAGGGGGAGGGTGTGGGTTTGGAGGGAGAGGAAGAGGAGGGGAGGGGAGGAGGAAGGTTTGGGGAGGCGGGGGAGGGAGAGGAGGGAGGAGAGGAGCGGTGGAGGCGTGTTTTTGAGTGTAAGATGGTGTGGGGGATGAGTTGTCGTACTAGAGTGCAGTTGATGGGGGAGTGGAAGGAGGGGAGGGTGAGATGGGATGGTGAGGAGGAGGAGGTGGAGGAAGAGGAGGAGGAAAGAGGGGAGGGGATGGAGGGGAGGGTAGTGAGTGGAGTGGTGGGGAGGAAGGAGGAAGTGGCAAGAGGAGAGGAGGGGAGAGGGGGAGAGGAGGGGAGAGGAGAGGGGTTGCAGGAGAGGAGTGGAGTGGTGGATGAGAGGTTGGGGAGAATGGAGGAGGGAGATAGGAGTGTGGATGGAGGGGGGAGGCGCGTGGGAGCAGGGAAGCGAGTGGGAGGCAGAAAGAAAAAGGTTGAGTTGCAGGAGGGGTTTGGGGCGTCTAGTATTGGTGGTGAGGGAGAGGAGTGGGCTGCGGCTGATGCGGTTCCTGCAACTATTGTGGCTGCTGCTGCTCCTGCTGGTGGTGATTGTGAGCAGCATGTAGCCTTGCGCAGGGGGGCGTGTTTTGCCAGTGGGTCGTTGTGCCCCCCTTGCGCCTCATCCCTTTCTCCCTCTGCTCTGTCGCTCTTATCAGTGACGGAGGCGTCCCAAAAGCCTCTTACTCCTGCTCTCTCGCCCGCTGTTCCCCCGTTGAGGCTGAGAGGAAAGAGGGCGCGTGAGAAGGAGGAGAAGGATAAGGAGAAGCAGAAGAAGGAGAGGGAGGAGGGAGGGGAGGAGGAGATGGGGAGTGTAGGAGAAGAAGGGGAAGGAGAGGAGGCGTGCAGGGAGGAAAGGAGACAGAAGGAGTGTCGGGACATGAATGTGCAACAGCAACAACAGCTGCAACAGCAACAGCAACAGCAACAACTACAGCAACAGCAAAGGCAACAGCTACAACTGCAGCAACAGCAGCAGCAGCAGCAGCAGCAGCAGCAGCAGCAGCAGCAGCAGCAGCAGCAGCAGCAGCAGCAGAAGCGGGAGAAAGTGGAGAAAGCTGAAAAAACAGGAAATTTCAGCAGAGTTTCGACAAGAGCAACAAGAGCAGCCGCAGCTGCCGCCGCCGCAGCGAAAGCAGCAGCAACAGCAGAAGCAACAGCAGAAGCAGCAGCAGCGTCAATACGGAAAGGTCATACGGCCGAATGCCTGCCAGTTATTGCTGCACCGTCCACCCTCCCTGCTCCGGAGGTGCCTGCTTCAATTGTCCCCCCGCATGCCACCTTGTTCGGGTCGACTCAAAAGCGTAAGTCATTGAAATTAACTCAGAATCCATGCTTCCTCCGAGTGCCTGTGGTGCCAGCGCTGCCAGTTGAGTCAGTGATGACAGAACTTCCTGTGTCCCCTCTGTCCTCAGTGGTGCCTGCTCTAGTCGACTCAGCTGCTGCCGCTGCACCTACTTCCCCGCGAAACGCTCTTGGAATTCTTAAACGCCACCGCAACAGCACGGCTGCGAGTCCCTCTGCTCAGCAAGGGGGAGAGGCAGAGAGTGTGGATGTTAGATGCCCGGGCTCTGCTTTTGAGGCACCCTTTGAGGCACCTTTTGAGGCACCTCTTGAGGCACCTTTTGAGGCACCTCAAGAAGAAGAAGCAGAGGCAGGGAGTGCCACAATCAGATGCCTGGATTTCACTAAGGCTCTTTCTGCACATGCCACCCCTGCCGTTCCTTCCGCAATTCCTTCTCCTGATGCTGCCGCTGCTCCTGCTCCTGCTCCTGCTCCTGCTGCTGCTGCTGCTGCTGCTGCTGCTGCTGCTGCTGCTGCTGCTGCTGCTGCTGCTGCTGCTGCTGCTGCTGCTGCTCTTGCTTCTGCTGCTGGTGCTGCTTCCCCTGACTTGATTACAACTCAAGGTGTTGGGACGGGTATTATTCAAAAGAGACGTAGAGGCAGTTATGGGAGGGCCAGGACTGTTTGCCCTGTAGCAAGCCAGCATCACAGCAGCGGCTGCGGGAACAGCAGAGGGAGCAGCTTCAATGGCAGCAGCTGCAGCAGTGGTAGAAACAGCAGAGGCAGCAGCAGCAGCAGTAGCAGTAGCAGTAGCAGTCATGGGCATGTGTGGAAGGCTGAGAGAGCCGGTGGTGGTTCCGGGGAGAATGGGCTTCGAGTGGTGCTGAGGCGAGTCGGGGGGAAGCAGGAGAAGGGAAGTGGAGTGGAGGGGAGTAGGGGTAAGTCAAGCAATAGCAGGGAGTTGGAGGGAGAGGAGCGGAAGGCAGGTAAGGAGGGAGAGGAGGGAGGGGCAGGAAAAAAGGGAGAGACGGAAAGGGTGGGATCTGAGGGGTCGGAGGGAAAGCAAGTGGCGAGCGGGCTTATAGTGGAAGGAACAGGACGTTATGGGGCTAGAGGTGAGGTGCAGAATAGGGTTGACGAGGAAAGAGCAGAGGTGAGTGAGGGGAAGGAAGTGAAAGAGGAGGGAAAGGAGGTTAGGGAGGAGCAATTGGAGATTAGGGGGGAGGGAGTGGATGCGAATGCACAGGAAGGAGTGAGTGAGGTTGGGGTATGGGAAAATAGAAACAAAACAGGGACAGAAGCAGAGAATGAAACAGAGGCACAAGCAGAGGCAGAGGCAGAAGCAGAGGCAGAAGCAGAGGCAGAAGCAGAGACAGGAGCAGAGACAGGAGCAGTGACAGGGGCAGAGACAGAAGCGAGAACAGAAGCAGGTACGAGGAGGGAGGGCAGGGGAGAGGATGATGACAGGCCTACTGAATTTGACCCCATTCCAAGTAGTGGAGTAGATGGGACTAATGAACAAACGGTTTCACTGTTAGCAGCCCAGGTACCTTCTCCATCACCCTCGCCACCACCGGCAGCAGCAGCACCACCACCACCACCGCAACAAGTGCTATCACCACCACAGGGGGAAGCAGGCAAGGATGAAGGCTGGTGTTTTCGCGACGAGGCTGCAGGTCTGGCCTCGTTGCTCTCCGCAGCCGACATTGCTGCTGCTGCGGCTAGATCTGCTGTTACAGCTGCCTTTGCTCCTGGTTATGGTAATTCTGTGGATGCTGCAGCTGATGCTGCTGTGGTTGCATCTGGTCCTCCTGATGCTGTTACTGGCTAACAGAAGAATGTTAAGGCGAAACCGTTGGGACGGAGGGACTGCGAAGCACGAATGGTTTCTTTTTTCCCCCGATAGGCACGTGCCGGGACTGGGAAGTGGGCAGAGGCTGTGGTTAAAGGATGTTTGCTGTGTTGTGGAAGGGAAGGGATATGTGCGGTGCATGTGGGGATGGGTGTTAGGTTTCGACTCCAAAGATTATGCATGGTGTGTGTGCAAGGTGGGAAGACAGGAAGTAGCGGTTCTTTTGTTCTCTCTCTCTCTCTCTCTCTCTCTCTCTCTCTCTCTCTCTCTCTCTCTCTCTCTCTCTCTCTCTCTCTCTCTTTCTCTCTCTCTCTCTCTCTCTCTCTCTCTCTCTCTCTCTCTCTCTCTCTCTCTCTCTCTCTCTCTCTCTCTCTCTCTCTCTCTCTCTCTCTCTTTCTCTCTAGGAGGTGAGCACGAGACGTGCTGGTGATCACCACATACTGGTAGTTGATCTCTTCCATTTTTGAAATTGACAATGGTTTGTTCTGAATTTAGGTTGCAAACTCAGTCTGTTGCCTTTCCCATATACACTAATGTTGGTTCGATTACAATAACCCGCGCTATCTTCACGACCTGGGGGTACTTTTCTGGGTAGAGCTGGTATATGAGGGTAGTTACAAACTTATAGGGGGTAGAAATATGCACTTTCTCGCTAGTTGACGGAAAGTAGGGCTTTGTAAAGCTAGACCCGCCCCTCTCTCGTGTCACTAAGTACGAGTTTAATCGACTGAATTGCATCCTGGCTGTGTACTGATAGTCCCGCAGTCTCTGGGTGCCCGTCTCATTACACGAGAACGCACTATATGATGTAAGTTCGGGCGGTAAAATTACCGCGGGATAAGTGTAGCCGCCTGCGGCATTCCTGATCCGCGCTAATGCTGTAGCCTCACTTATCAAAGGTTCGTTGGTCCAATCAAGTTTTTTTTTTTTTTTTTTTTTGATATCAAATACATTACAGGAATGTATAGACATCGACAGTCGTAACTGTTATGGGGAGGAGAGCGCTACAATAGCTAGTATCGCAGATCTCCTCTGAGACAGCTATGGTGGCTGGTGCGTCATTCTGGGATTGTTCCAGATTGTGCTGAATTCGACCCTCCACGTCAGCGGTACACCGCTGCTGCAGATGCGTCGCATCACCACCGCTTCGTCATCTGCCAGGTGTGCCCACACATCATACGAAAACTGTCCCTTCTTCCGCGCTGTCGCCTCGCGCGCCAAGCAGTACATCCTGACGTGAGCGGTGAACCTTATCATCGCCTGCCGAGCCACTTTCCCGGCCTGAAAAACCTCGTTTCTCCACGCTGCATTGCACCTTGCTAGCCACACCTGGTGCAGGAAGATTGTGATCCACGTCTGTTCCGGAAAACTCGACAACGTGTTTCTCTGCGCGAAAAGCAGGTCTTCAAGATCCAGCCACGCTAGGTTCGGGTGCATCACCTCCAACCCTCGTCTGAGTACGTCCGTCACCCCCTGTACTGCAGGGCACCTGAGAAGGCAGTGGTCCGGGGTTTCTTCCCCTCGGCAGTGCGGGCAGACCACCCCCATGAAGAAAAGTCTCGAGCCCACTTGCAGATTTCTACAGTGGAGCCGTAGCAGGATCTCACGTGCCCGTCGTGGGGTGGCAAGGGAGTCCCTCTGCCTTATGACTCTGTCCCACTCAATTTCCCTCCTATGCCCTTCCCACCTCCTCTGATCCTCATGTGGTACAGCTGCGCTCGCCAGCACCATCCTTATCCGTCGCAGCGAGATTAATTCTCCCCCTTCACATGCTTGCGAGAGCAGCAGCTTCGTTCGTACGTCACCCATGGGCCCCAGAAAATTATGGCCCTCCGTGTACATCGGCACCCCGCTGCGCAGCCCAAAGTCCACCGTGAGGTTGCCTTCGTAGGGCGTGAAATATCCACCGCTTCCCACGTCGCACAGGATTCCCACCACCTTATCATCCTTTGCTCCCTCGACCTTCCAGTAAGTGAAGTTCTCAGTCCCGGCGTTGTGCGAACGCAGTAGCTTCACCGTGGCCACCACCTCTTCGCTCGTCAGCTTTGTGAGTATTATATCCCTCCAGCCCGGGGGCGCAGCTTGAAAAGCCCTCAACGCCCATTTCGCCTTCTCCTTGTTCCCCAGCTCTCTTGCCAGTGCCTCCAGCTTTTTGAGTTCGCATGTTCCATCCCGTTATTTGACGATCAGGTCCCCCATACGTAAGCCCAGCAGCGCCTCCGTTCCTTTCTGGTTCCCGAAAGGACTTGCGCCTCTGTAAGGGATGTTCGGGTTGAAAGCCAGGTGCTCCTGTTCCACCTCCCAACGGTTCGTCGGGGCACGTGTCTTGTACAGCGGTGAATCCCAAAATTTCACGATTAACTCCTTCCAGCGTGCGCTCCCCTTTTCCCAGTGGTCTAGCAGCGATTTGTGCGCGAAGATTGTGTCCAGCCCCAGGGGCAACTCCGCCGCCCTCTCCGCCAGCCACTTCTTGACGGAGCTCGGCCGCAGCATCAGACGGCAGACGTTCCGAATGGAGATGCTGTTGACCCTCTGCTCGGGGCAAATCAGACCCAGCCCCCCGCCCTTCCGCGGTGTGCAGACCAGTTGATAGTTCCAGAGGATGAAGCGTTTCTCCTCCGCTGCTTCTCCCTTCGAGACGAAGGTGTGGCAGATCTTGCGAATCTTCTTCCAGATGGCCTCCGGCGGCAGGTATATTTGTGCCTGGAAAAGAAAAATCGAAGTGATGTAGCTGTTGATTATCGTCACTCTCGCCGATGTCGTCGGGTGTTGCAACTCCCACTTTGCTAACTCTCCCTTCGCCCTGCCCAATGCTTTGTTTCAGGATGGAGTTGGGTCACCATTCGGCGTGATCCAGATCCCCAACAGTCGCTCCGGCTCCTCCTTGTCCGCCCATTTGTAACGCAGGTTGTGCGGTGGCGGCTTCCCACGGTTTTTCCCCAGCGGGAAGACTACCGTTTTTCCCTCGTTCACCACCAGCCCTGACTCTCTTCCGAAGACTGTCAGAACATCCGCCGCTGCTTCCAGCTGCTCTGCTCCGCGCAGTAACAGTGATGTATCATCAGCGTAACCCAGGTATGCTAGCGTGCCCACACCTCGCTTCCCGATTCCCAGCTTTTTCCGATTAAACTCTTGGCACGGCGGCTCTACTGCACAGAGGAAGAGGTACGGCGCCAGCGGGCAGCCTTGGCGCACTCCCTTCTCCACCGCCACCCTGTCTCCTGTCCAGCCATTGATGTGCAGGCACGTCCCCGCGTCTTTGTGCAGCCCCTCTGTCCAGGATACGAAAACCTCTGGCAAACCCAGCTCCCGCAACGTGTCAAAGAGGTAGTCCCGCGAGATTGAGTCAAAAGCCTTTTGAAAATCAATCATCATCAGGTACCAGTCCTCTTTCCCATTCGCTCCTGCTTCTATGGCATCCGCGACCACCGACACCGCGTCCGCCAGCTGCCTACCAGGTAGGAACCCGTATTGGTCCTCCGAGATGACCTCGTGCAACACCACTTTGAGCCGGCTCGCCATCACCTTTGCTATGATTTTGCAAACCGTACTAAGGAGCGTTATCGGCCGATAGTTCCCCAGGTCGCCTTTATCCCCCTTCTTATGCAGCAGGATGGTCACAGCTGTTGAGACCGTGTGCGGCAACGCCTCTCCGCCCGTGAAACTCCTCACCAGGTCCATCAGCACTGGTCCCAGCAGCCCCCAGTTGTAATCGAAGAGCTCTTTAGGCAGCCCGTCAGCGCCCGGTGATTTCCTTGGGGCAAGTTCCCGTATTGCTTTCCGAACCTCGTCCTCCGTCCAGGGTGCACTCAGCGCTCTTCTACTTGCTTCCCCCAATCGCCGTTGCATGGGATGATCTTCCGTGGCAGGTACCGCGCTGCTGCTGACACACCCAAAGGCATCACGAAAGTGAGATGTCGCCGCCGAGAGAACCTCCTTCACCCCCGAGAACAGGCTCCCGTTCCGCGCTACCTCCCGAATTGTTGTTTTTGCCTTGCGAGTCTTGATTTGCGCCGATAGAGTGCCCGACGCCACCTCCCCGTCCATCTCCGCTTCGATGCCTGCCCATAACTGCAGCTGTTCTTTATGGCTCCTCTCATATGCCTCCAGCAGCTCCTCTTTCCGAAGTAGAGTCCTCCCCGTTCGTTGGCAGTGCGGGTATCTGGACACACGCAACCTTAACCGTTCCACCTCCCTGGTGAGATGGAGTTGCGTGGCCTTCTCTCATTTCCTTTCTTCCCTCGAGTATGCCTTCAAGCATGTGGTTAGTCTCTCCAGCAGCTCGTCAACTGATGCTCCTGCTGATTCCTCGATGATTTTCTGTACTCCTTGCTTCTGTGTATGATCTGCCCGTAACCTCCAGATGCCCGTCCCGTTTTTCACAGCCTCCGCCGACTACAGCACCACCCCTATCCCGCTCCAGTGATCAGTCATTCCGTTGGTAATCACCACATGCCTCGCCTCTACTAGCTTGCTCAGCAGTGGTTGTGAGATTAGTGCCCTGTCTATCCTTGAGCTGGACCTCGTTGCTCTTGCAAAGAAGGTGTATTCCCTTTTGTCCGGGTGGATATGTCTGAAAGCATCCCGCAGGTCCGTATTCCTCCAGCAGCTCAAGAGGCGGTGATTCTCTGCCGAGGAGCCAGCCTGTGAGGTGCGATCCAGGTCCGGATCCTCGACCACATTGAGGTCACCCATCACCAGAATGTGGTGGAGCACCGGCAGGGATTGCAGAAACGGCTCCAGGCTGTCTCTGTAGAAACTACTCCTGTTCACCGCCTGAGCCGGGATGTATGCTGCTATCAGCAGGAACTCCAGGCCACCCCAGCGAACGACCACCGCCAGGAGCCTGCCAGAGTCATGGGTGAAACTGCTCGCGAAGACCAGCCCAGGTACGAAGCTCACTATAGCAACCCCCCCCGCCGATTCACCAGGGTTTTGTCCACACACTGCAGTAGCACTTGGTGTTATATCAGTCCAGAAATTGTGGTCAGCCTGCAACCTCGTGTCAGTGATTATGGCCACATCCGTCTTCTCTCTCATCCATTCCTTGCATTTCCTCTGTTTCTCTACCCCGCCGAGTCCGTTGATGTTGAACTCGCACAAAACAACTTTGTGGGCCTTATCCATTAATCAACAACTGTGAAGCCCCTTCGCATCCACGGGCTATAAAGGTACACAATGCTACTGGAGCAGGTAAGCCGTTGGTTCCAGCTACCTCTCTTATTCCTCTGCCGATGCGTACAGCTGCTGTGATCCTGCTAACACGCACTACTTCTTTGGCTTTGTCAGGAACTCCTTCTTGAAGGATATCATCTTCTGAGGGAACGTGCCGACACGTGTTGCTGAACTCTCCTTCCGCAAACCCTCCTTGTGACGAGCGGATACAATGTGAGACGAAGCCTGCTCGAAATGGATCCCCTGCGCCTTCTCGCATCCTGCCTGGACGCAGACCCATTCCTCTCGTGTGCCTCCAGTGGAAGTGAGGATGATCGCAGGGTCTCGCATGATACGCTTCAGGAGATCTGAAGCTTTCAGGGACGCAGCTGCGGGGGGAGAGGAGCAGCCAATCGTCAGTACGCGGTAAGAAGTGAAAGACGAGCGGGAAAGCGGGCTTCGGAGGCAGGTATAACTTCTCTCTGCTTGTACCATTCATCTGGTGAACCTTCTTAACCGTCACATTCCAGTTGTTGAAATGGTCTTGTTTCGGGGTGACATAGCGGTCGTGATAGCGAGTCATGTGCTGACCACCACAGAAGTCACAGGTCAGCGACGGGTAGTGAAGCAGGTACCGTTTCCCTGTGGTGGGATCTTCCACAAAGGTGCGCCAGCGGTACTCGTCGTCAGCATGGGGGACGAACAATCCACGGATGCGATCCGTGTCCAAGCCTGACACAGGGTCGACTGTCCGGTGAAAACCGAAACCACTGGCAAACGTGCTCCTGCCACGCTTCACCAGCTTTGACACCACCAGCAGACGACGGATCAGTTCTGCCGACGTTTCTGCAGGTACGCCTTTGATTATGATCTCCTTCGCCGTGGGGTTCAGTTCGCGCCCACGCTGGAAACGCGCGTCCTCTGGGTGCTGCCAGGTGAAGTCAACGAAATCGCCGTTGACGCATTCGTGACGAATGATCTGGTTCCACACGAAGTTCGCGTCCTTGACGTGATTGAATGTAACCTGCAGGCGTCCGTAGCGCTCTCCAGAGAGAAACATCGGAGCGAGGTCCTGGTAAGTTGTGGTCAGCAGCGCGTCTGGTGATAATAAATCCTTCCATTCATCCAGCATGGCAGCAATTGTGAAAGCCGCGCGCTTAACCTCCGCTTTCCTGGCAATCGGCACCAACAGGGTTAGTGAGAAGCGCTTCACAGCAATAATGCTGTTAAGAGAGTCTGGTTCCAGGTGATCATCGCTGTCGTCACTCAGGTAACCGTCGTCGTCGTCATCCGCAGGGGTCCCCGTTGATTGCGCGTCATCATCAGCACTGTCCGTAGCATCACCCTCTTCGCGCGCATCTCCCTCAGCGAGTCCTTTTCCGTCGCCAGTACATTCCCTGGTAGCATCATCGTCCTGATCAACAGCTCCCTACTGCTCCTGGAAGGCTTCGAAGGGACCTGCCAATGTCGATGGAGCGGGACACAATGGAGGCTTTCCGGTAGCAGCAGTCTCCTTCAGAGGTAAGGCAGGTACGTCTGTCTCCTGAGCCATGTCAACACCCTTCTTTGCTTTGTTGCCCTTACGCCCGTTACCCATGGTGCGATGATGAAACTGACTTGACAGCCCGTGCTTGACTGACAAACAAGCCTGACTGAGCACATTCATCACGCCGTGCTTATATTTCTTGTGTTTGAACGCGAACCTCTGCAGATCCAGGCCACGCGATAAGGCCAGGGTCCTGGCGTAGATCTCCATGCCTTGATAGCTGTTTGCTCCTTTGAAACTGGAACTTTGAGAAATGCGTGCGTTGGTTGTTCCGCGAGATGACGAAAACGTTGATGACGCCATATACAGGTGGCAACCATGGAGTAGCCTTGATAGCTGCTGCAGTCCACATGATGAAACCTGAGGCTGATTTGTAGTTAAAAATTGCCTGGACGATAGCCTGGAACATACACAACAGGTGTATAGGTTCCCGTTATGAACCCTAAAGAGACACCGTTGTGTAGATCTTAAAGCCGCGCATCGTCTGAGACAATCAATGTCACCATCAGGCTCGAAATTGATGGACATTGGCCGAGTTAAAGCTCTCCGCCATGGCCATGGCTGTAAGGATGCCATCACAGATGGCTAGCTACAGCGCAGTTAGAAGAATCGGTAGATTCGGTCCAATCAAGTTGTAGATCTGAAATTGATCGGATTTTACAGCCAATCTAGACGGATTTGTAGAGATTCGGCAACTGTAACTTAGTTGTCTAGGGCGGGCTCAACTTGTTTTTGCAGCTCTTCTAGAGCCCACCCTCATATGCCCACCTTCTCGAACCAGCAAAACTGGCACGGCTGTAAAACTATCTTGCACTCAAAGCAATGGTCAATTCCACTCAGTGGCCTGCCATTTCAACAGAACCACTGCCTAAAGGTTTTCGTCTCACCAGCTTGGAGTCCAAAATGTCCGCCCAGATCTCAGCTAGAGCAGAGAAGCGGTGGAGAGCAGAGCACTGACTATTGTACGGCATCGACATTCATGGGTGTTTTGATGGGGTACACCGCCATTTTCTATCGGTCTATTTTCAGCCCCACTTGCGCGAGTGGGTAGCACCCTTTCTGGAATCTTTGACCGAGGGTTGTGTGGGCGTCAGAAATGTCACACTTATTTCACAGTGAGTTAGTTCCAGACCCCCAAAAAGAGTAGAAATGGCACAAGGGATTCGCAACAGCAAGAGTGCCCCTTCACACGAGTGGTAATAGTCTCAGAATTGCGCTCATACGTTTCTTAACATTGAAAATCGGGGAGCTTCATAGCCCATGTTGATCAAGTTCTCAACTGAAATAGTCGAATGCGTGCAGGGTATCTTTGAAACGTGAGAACAGTGCAGAGGTTCGGGGTTGAACATAGCGGTGTATCTTGAGGGGGTTTTTCATGTGTGCATTCGGGATTTGGTGGCAGTTTTACTTTTCCTTCTCCCTTTCATTCGCCATCCCCCTTCTCCCTCATTTACAGTACACCCTTATTCTCGGTCTATGCACAATTGGGAGCCCTGGCAACAGTACGTACTGTTGCTTGGACCCTAGCGATCTAGTGCTTGGAGCCGAGCCCTAGGTAAGTGGCGGGCAAATGCACTCCATAAGGGACGGTATACAACGGTGTAAAAAAGAAAATGTGTTTTTGCGTACGGTTGAGTACGGCAAATGTGCTTACAGGGTATGTTATTGGACGATTTTGGACGCATTGATGTCATTACAGGTGGCATGTTCATGTGGCGTCTGTGCATGTGGCGAGAATGAGGGTGTATATGTCAGTATGATGCCACGTGTTTTCGAGTAAGTGGATCCGGAAATTTTGGAAGGCGTTTTCAGCTGTACTGCTTGAACATCCTCGTGTCGCCTGTGACTTCATCATCCTCACATGTTTGATCAAAACTAAGGACGTGTCTCGGTTCGCCTCTGGTCGGCTGTGATCTGGTCGGGACTGATCTGATCGGGCTGCCTTTGTTTGAATAGCTCGCGCCGTCCGATCAGATAAGGTTTTCCTCGAATATTTCACGAGGTTACGTGGCAAGCGTCAAATCCTTTCCTGCCACTTTCGGGCGTACTTTGGCGACTGCGAACGCCTCGGCATGGATGTAGCGAGTTTAGTGTTTCCCTGTAATTTCGCGAAAACAAGTGCCTAGAAATGCTGCAGCTCCAGATTCGCGACGGCAGAGTATTCACGACAATTTCACGAGTCCATGTCGAGCAATGTAACAGTTCGCCAGCGTCGAGCGCAGCCAATATCTATCGTCGGTCAAGAAGGTGTTACCCATCTGCTCTTAGCTTTCCATTTCACGTGACTCCTGGTGACCTGAAGCTAGAAGGGGGAAAATACAACCTCCGCTCATTTCAGTTCACTACTAGTGCAATTTCTCATCCTACTTTCAGCCAATGACTAGGAAGTACAAGCCTGGAACCTACTGAACACGCTCTAGAACCTTCTGTTGTTCAATTCCAAACCCTTACCTTTCGCTTCAGGCTCTCCTCGCTCGCCACCTTCTGTGCTGAGCTGAACCTGTATCGAACAGGTCCTCTGTGCTGAACCTGTCTGTCATCGACGAATGCAGTCAACGGAATCGTGTTTGGCAGGCGAGAAGCTCGTCGAGTTATCCAGAGCTTCCAAGTCGTTTCACGAATGTTTCACTTATCAGACAGTTACGCAGAATGCGGGAAACCGGTTGAGTAAGTCTATCTATGCTTCCTCTAACAGTCAAATCGAAAACAAAACGGTCTTGCCGTTCTCCGAAAGTGGTCGTGTCGCTGGGATGCAGCGCAGCTCGTCTTGGTCGTCTTTGACCGGAAATCAAGGTGCGTAGCTTAGCGAAGCAGCCTGTGATCGTTGCGTGTCTCGATAGAGGCTTCACCTTTGAGTATTCTCGGTTTATTCGGGGAATGCCCGTCGTCTTCGCGCTAACGTGCTATGTGACCCAGAATTTTTCTTCTTCTTTTTATTCAATTTTTCTTACTTCCCTTAAAACACTCCCACATCTCGTTCAGATGAATGAAGATTAGAGCTTGTAACTTACGTAGTCCCTTCCCTGCCGCATTTTAGGTCAGGTGCTTCTTGTTACCGTTTCGCACCTCTTGTTCCTGCCGTCTCAAATAACTATCCTATCCTCCCTCGCTTCCCTCCCCGCTTTCGTTTCCTCTTCTACCCCCTCCTCTCACCCCCCTTTCCCCCTTTCCCATCTCCGTTCCCGTATCTCCGTCCCTCACGCTCCCTCCTCTTTTCCTCTCCTCCGTTTTCCAATGCAGATCGGTTTGACCACTATCAACACGCGAAATCACCTCTTTCTCCCCGCCCAGCCTCTTAACGCCCTCGTTGAGAAATCCTTAAAACACCTTCTATTCGATCTCAACTCTCAGCCATCGCACCTTCACCTATGTAGACCGCCATCCCGAATCCGTCTCCCTTGACGGCCGTCCTGACACCTTGCCGCCGCTGTCCAGTTTCCCCATCCATTCCGGTATCCTTTACCTATCCTATCGATCCGTTTGTTACTGCGCGGCTTTCCGTTTTTTTCTCCATCTCTCTGTCGTCCTCTCTCTGTTGGATATTTTTCGTAGGGCAAGAGTAACGGCGGTGGTGGCAGCAGATCTCATACAGTCCCTTATCCCGTGTAGGGTTTATCCCATTGCGCCGGCCGTCCTATTATATATAATACACTCGCCTTTCGCGAGTGATCCTTTCTCCGCATTCTTCCGCACTAACTAATATCCGCAAACCGTTAGACATGCTCTCGAGACACGACTGAATCTTTTAAGAAGCCTTGCCTCTCTTAGTGCATAACCTGTATTTTCCCTGTCGCTTGCGGCACGCCGCCTCTTTCATCGAAATCGTTTTCCGGCAATTGATCGCGTCCGTACTTTCGCGAGCGGCTTTTTCTTCGTTAGTCACTTTCGCGAAGTCGCTCTCGCGACGCTTTCGCCGATCGCCCACGTTTCGTCGACAAGCGAGCGACGATGAGCATGCAAACAGACTCGTGCGACAGCGTCGCTATGGCAGCAGCCAGCAGAAGCTATTCGGGAGGCGCGGGGGGAAGTGCCGGAGGTGGGCCGGGCGGAGGCGCAAGCGTAGGCGGAGGCGGGGGCGGAGGCGGACTGACTTCCCCCAACACCTCCCCCGCGCTAGACTCGGCGGAACTGCAGGGGGCTTTTTCCGCCTCCCAGCTGCAGCAGTTCGGGCAGCAGCTGCAGCTGCAGGCGCAGGCGCAGAGCTCGGGGGGAGGGGGGCTTTCCGCGGACGCGCTTTTCCAAAACATTTCGCCCAACTCGAACGTTTCGCCTAGTTCGCACATTTCGCCGAATCACCCGTCAATGATCAGCCCCGGACGGCAGCAGCGGGAACTGGAGCAAGCGAGCGAGCTTTGGGATATGCTGGGGGTGAACGTGGATATGGCAAGTGGGGGGGGGATTGGCGGAGCGGGGAGCATGGGGAGGCTGGGGGGCGGAGGGGGCCCGGACGGCGCTGGCGCTAGCCCTGGGGGGCTGGGGGAGAAAATGGGGGAAGATGGCGGCGGGTGGAAGAGCGGGGGCGGGGGCCGGGGGGGAGTCGGAGGAGTTGGGGGTTTCGGTGCAGGGGGAACAGAAGGGTGGGGAGCAGGAGGAGGGGGAGGGCAAGCAGCGGATTCGGCGCCAAATGTCCCGCCGTCCGCTGCCGTTGCTGCAGCGGGCGGCATGGGAGGTCAGGGGATGGAGTTAGCCGGCGGCGCGGCGGGATCAGGACTGGCGGGGCTTTCCGCGCTGTCCGGATTATCCGCGTTACAGCAGGGCGGATTAGACGTTAAGGTGATCATGGAGCTACTCCAGAGGGATCGCGGAGGGGGAGATATGGGCGGAGGGGGGCCCGGGGGAGGCGGGGGAGAGGCGGAAGGACTGGGACAGATGGGCGGCGGCTTAGGATCAATGGATCCGATAGCGCAATTGGCGGCGCTCTCGGGGGAAACGGGGGAGGGAGGCGCAGGGGGAATGGCAGCTGTGCTTGCGGCGGCGGCAGCAGCTGGAGGTGGGGGAGGCGGAGGGGGAAGTGCGGGAGCTGGGGGATCAAACTATATGTTGCAGCAGATGCTTCAGCAGCAGCGGTTGCAGCAGGAGAAGGAGAAGCTACAGCAGCAGCTGCAGCAGCAGTTGCAGCAACAGCTGCAGCAGCAACTGCAGATGCACCTGCAGCAGCAGCAACAGCAGCAGCAATCGCAGCTTCAAAAGCCGCCACACCCGCCGAACTGGATCCCCCCTGCCCAGATCGCCCTGGCGCTAGAGAGAGTGATGGAAGGGGAAGGAAACGGAGCAGGCGGGGTAGGAGGAGGAGGGGGGATGGGCTTTAAACCTGGCCCAGGGTCAGCAGCAGCAGCAGCTGCTGCGGCCGGGGCACCCGGTCTCTTCACATCTGGCTCTACCAGACGACTCCCAGGTGCCAGCAACCTGGGGGGGTATACGAGAGGAGCTCCGAGGCATGTACTCGGGGGCGGGGCGGCCGCCGCAGCCGCCGCAGCAGCCGCCGCGGCAGCAGGAGGCGGGGGAGGGGGAGCAGGAGGGTCGCACCACCGGCGCGCGCTTTCCCTGGGATCCGCGGCGTTGCAGTTTGATGGGATTAGCAGCGGCAACAGCAGCCGCAGCAACAGCCCGCTCTCTGGACTTCGCATGGCGTCCCAACACGGGCAGCACGGGCAGCAGCATTACACGTCCGCCTCCCCCGGTTCGTACCTCATTCCCCGCGCCGGTGCTAGCGTGTCCGGTGGCAGTGCCAGCATGGGAGGAGGTGGCGGAATGGCGGGTGGCGGAATGGCAGGCGGAGGCGCAGGTGATTTTTCAGAGGCCGCCGCGATGCTTCTGGCGGGGGTGGGGGGGGGAACGGGCGCAGGGCAGGGGGGAGGGGGAGACCCGGGATCATTCCAGTCACTTAGGTCCCGTCGAGGCCTGCCGGATTTGCCGGGATATCCCCCTAATAGTGGCTCTATTGGCTCTGCGCAGGATAACCGCAGTCCTAAGGGGAAAAGAGAACCGGAAAGCAGTCTTGCAGGGTCCCTAGGAGGCGGGGTGGGTAAATGGCTGAATGCCCCTGCGAATAAGAGTCCACGGGCAGAAGGGCAGCTGAGTCCGGGCAGGAACCTGAAACTTGTGTCCACCGGGCAGGTTCCTGGTCTGACAGGGGAAATGGCGCGACTAGGCATGGGAAATTTCCGTCCGTTTGTGAGCGGAGGTTCGCCTAATGCTGCTGCTGCTGCTATTGTAGCGGCTGCAGCTGCAGCTGCTGGGTCCGGGGGCAACGCAGGGGGGTTCCCTGGCGGGGGGGAAGGGGCTAATGGGATGGGGGGAGGCGGAAGCGGGCTGTCTTCCCCTGTGCGCCTTTCTTCACCGGATACTGAACGTATGAGCGCTGCTGTGGCGGCTTCCGCCAGTGGCATGGGGATGGGCGCAAGCAGGATTGTTTCTGGGGGCGTTGGGGGGAAGGGAGGTGCTGCAGGGGGAGGAGCGGGGGCGATGGCGCGCGGGGGGAATGCGCGGGGGAAGTTGGGGAGGCGGGGGTCGGGGTTGAGTGGGGGGAGCGGGGCAGGGGGAACGGGAGGCGGAGGCGGAGGCGGAGGCGGAGGCGCTGGGTCGAGCTGGGCTTACGCAGGGGAGGAGGTGGGGGAAGGCGGGGAGGGAGGAGGAGGAGCAGGAGGAGCAGGAGGAGGAGGAGGAGGAGGAGGAGGAGGAGGAGGAGGAGGAGGAGGAGGCGGAGGCGGAGGGGGGATGATGGGGCTACAAGATGAAGACTACTCAGATAACGAAGACATGGGGAACGCATATGGGGACATGGAAACGGGCATGCTCACACCGCCAGAGCTTCTAGGGGTAGACGGAGCAGACGCCATGCTAGAGGAAGCCCGTATGCTGAACCCCCACAGGCAGCGCCACTCCACGAAGCCCCGGAGCGTGGCCGAGAGGAAACGCCGTGAGAAGATCTCGGTAAGGCTGCAGCAGCTGAAGGATGCGATGCCGAAGGCGGAAGGGAGGTTGGACACGGCGTCGATGATTGAAGACGCGGTGGCGTATATTCACTCGCTGAGGCAGCGGTGCCGGGCGCTGGAGAAGCATAATGTGCAGCTGGTGGCGAAGGTGGAGCAGCTGCAGGAGCGGCTTGGGGAGAGAGGATCAGCAGGAGGGGGAGGGGGAGGGGGAGGGGGAGGGGGGAGGGGGGAGGGGGAGCGGGAGGGGGAGGTGGAGGGGGAGCGGGAGGGGGAGGTGGAGGAGGAGGAGCAGGAGCAGGAGGAGCGGGTAGTAGTAGTGGTGTTGGTGGTGGGAGTAGTGGTGGTGGTGGTGGAGGTGGGAGTGACGAGTGAAGGACGCGATGCCGAAGGCGGAAGGGAGGTTGGACACGGCGTCGATGATTGAAGACGCGGTGGCGTATATTCACTCGCTGAGGCAGCGGTGCCGGGCGCTGGAGAAGCATAATGTGCAGCTGGTGGCGAAGGTGGAGCAGCTGCAGGAGCGGCTTGGGGATAGAAGGGGAAAGGGGGGAGGAGAGGCGGAGTGGGAGGGGGAGCAGGAGGGGGCGGGGGAGGGGGAGGAGGAGCAGGAGGGGGGGTTGCGGGCAGTAGTAGTGGTGGTGGTGGTGGTGGTGGTGGTGGTGGTGGTGGTGGTGGTGGTGGTGGTGGTGGAGGAGGATGGGTGGATGGAGGGAGTGAGGAGTGAAGGGGCGGGGAGGGGAGGGAGAGAAGCACCAGGCTGGGACGGAGAGGGAAAGGATAGGGATGAGGGCGCACTGCGGGTAAAGGGAAGTGTCAGTAACGGACAGGTGGGCTGGGCTGCAGCTTCAGCGGCCTTACTCTCATCAACTCGTGCTGTTTTAGGGAGAGGAGGGCGCACTGCGGTTGACGGGGGGGGTCTGGAGAAGAGAAGCGAGGTTAGTGGTCCTGAGGGCTGTTAAAAGGCAAGTGAGAAGCATGTAATGTGTGTGTAAGGTGGTGACTTTTGAGTCTACTCAAAAGGGAGGCGAGGTTAGCGGTCCTGACGGCTGATAAAAGGCGAGTGAGAAGCATCGTGTGCCATTGTAACGAAGTGACTTTTGAGTCGACTCAAAAGTCACCTCGAAGGGAGGCGAGGTTAGCGGTCCTGAGGGCTGTTTAAAGGCAAGTGAGAAGCATGTGATGTGTGTGTAAGTGTGTGTGCTTGGGTGTAGGGGGGAAGGTGGGGGGGGGGATGGGGGGAGGGAAAGTGGGTGAGGGGAGAGGAGGGATAGGGGAGGGGGGGAGGGATGGAGAGAAAGGGGGAAGGAATTGTGAAGCACTGTTGAAACAGGGTGTTGGGTAAGGTACTGAGATGGTACACATGTACTGGTATCAGGTATAGGGAGAAAAGAAAGGCGTTTGGGTAGGCAGGAAGGTGTTGAGGCAGGTGGGGTGAGGTGAGGTGAGGTTGCAAGGTGAGGAGAAGATAACGTGAAAGATTCACTTTTGAGAACTCTAAAAAATGGCTCCAAGGTAGGAGATAACGTGAGGACAGAAGACGGTAGGACAAGGAGAAAGGAGGAGAGGGGGGGGGGAGACAGAAGAGGTGGAGGCGGAGGAGAGGGGAAGCAGTAGAAGATACAGCAGGGTTGGATGCGTGTGGTGGGGGGTTTGATTCGATGCCACGATTCGAGATCAGCAGAATCGGGGCGATAATTGACGGAACGGGATGAGGCGAGGCGAGACGAGACGAGACGAGACGAGACGAGACGAGATGAGACGGGACACGGGACGGGACAGGAGGAGATAAGATGAGCAGTGCCATCGAATCTCGAGATATGATGCAGATGATAAGCAGGGTCGGCGGTTGGTCAGCTTGCTTCATGCTGATGGGGCATACTGACAGCTGTTCGAGGTGTTTGACTGAAGTATGGGCATGGGCTCCTCAAGCATGGGCTCTTCAAGTTTGGGCTCCTCAAGATTCTGAATGGGATCAGTGAGGGTGCACTCTGATTCAAACGATATTGTTTTACTGCAGATGAAGAGGCTTATGGGCTTGCTAAGTAGCAGTATGGGAGAAGCGGTGGGAAGGAAGGAGTGCGCATGGCAGGGTGGAGGTTTTTGGGGTGTATGGTGCATGGTTTATTGGTCGCAGAAATCATCGGGGGAGAGGGGTGCAGTGCGGTGGTGCGGTGCTCAGAATCAGGGGAGGGTCAAGTCAACTGCCGAGGCATGTGACTGAGGATAGGTAGGTTGGTTGAGGAGCATTATCATTATTTCCCTTGTTGTCGTAGCTGGTTTGCCCGAGCTTGCAGGGCGGGGTAAGTACTGTACCAAGAGGTGAGAGTGGAAGAGCAAGGTGAAATCTAGAAAGCACGGGAGGGAGCAATGAGGGGGAGGGATTTGGGGTGGGTGGGAGAAGGAAAGTTATGTGGAATGTGGGGAGGGAGAGGGAGAAATAGAGGGAGAGGGTGCAGAGGGAAAGGGATGGAATTATGCTCGTCTGTAGCAAGGGCTTGGGAATGGTACGGTAGGTGTGAGCAGGGTTTTTTTTTTTTTTTTTTTTTTTTTTTTTTTTTTTTTTTTTTTTTTTTTTTTTTTTTTTGGTCTTGTCTACGTCGCCCTTTGCTCTGTCATATCTGGGGATACATTAGATGCTTATACGGTAGGTAAGCGACAGCTACGGTATTTATTTTGGGAGGGACAGTTTACTGACTGGGCAGTGAGGATGGATACTCAACTTATATGCCTTGTAGTTTATTCCAGGGATTTCGTTGCATTACACTGCCTCTATTGCTAATTCCTGATGGATATTTCTTTACTATGTAGGTACTGTTAAATTTACAGGTTGAACTGGTAGTGTGCTTAGAAAATGCTCAGCCTAGCTATTCATTGAAACCGTAGCTTAAAGCCCGAGTCTAGAATGGCAAGTGTTCACAAATATTAAAAATTTTAAACACACATTGTGTTCTTTAAAATTGTGTATTGTGAAAGCGAAGCTGCTTGTACTGCACAATTGGCATCGTCGAGGCGCGCTAAACGCCCTTCTCCAACTACAAAAACCGTGGGTTGGAGCTCATTTCCCTCCACCCACGTTTCTCTATTTCAAACGACTCACTAAACATTTCTGCTCACGTACTCTTTCTCTCCTTCCAAGCTGGCTAGAACAAAATCGCTTCCTAGAGGCGAGTCACCCTCGACTTTAATTAGCCACATTTTTAACTTCAATCGCTCAACGATGGCAGCGACGACGACACTTAACAACGGGAACTCGTCCAACCTCGCTTCCAACTCCGACCGTAATACCCGCGATTTTGCGGGCGACCGCCGTGTTAAAATATATCTCTTCTATAAACTGCTTGTAGCAGTAGTTAGTGTAGTGTTACATTGTTTGGTGGTGCACCTTGCTTGCTTTGCCTATATCCTTGTACCCTCTCTCTATTGAACCCACTCTTTGCCTAAACTCTCTCGACTTCCTTTGGCCTAGGCTACTAAGCCTAGGCCCTACTCTTACTATCTCAACATGGTATTCAGAGCAGGTACCTTCATGCTGCCTTCCTTAACGGGCCCACCAATGTGCTTCCGCTGCCTATCGCCCTGCCGCGCGCCTCAGGCGCGCGGCGTATTTTTCTCGCCGTGTGCTCGGGGCGCACGGCGGTTTTCTGCCCGCCGTGCGCCCTGGGCGTGCGGCGTCTTCCTGCCCCGCGCGCGGCCTGCTCTCACGCCGCCTGCGTGCCTGCCTCACGTCCACGCGCGGGCCTGTTTTGCCCGTCCGTACCCTCCACTTCGCGGCGCCCTGCGAGGCGCCGCTCCTGCTCGTCGCGACGCACCTGCGGGACCCGCGGCGTCGCCCTGCTCGTCGCGACGCCCCTGCGGGACCCGCGGGGCGTCGCCACTGCTCGTCGCGGCGCCCACTGGACGCCGCCCCTGCTCATCGCGGCGCCTCTGGGGCGTCGCCCTTGCTCGTCGCGGTGCCCCTTGGGCGTCGTCCCTGCTCGTCGCGGCGCCGTCCCCCCTGGCCACCGCCTCTGCCATGCACCAGCGCCGCCCCTGGACCCAGAGCAGCCGCCCCTGGCCCCTGGAGCAGCCGCCCCCGGTGCAGCCGCCCCTGGACCTCCGCAGCCGCCCTTGGCCCCTGGTGCAGCCGCCCCTGTTGCAGCCGCCCCTGGACCCAGAGCACCCGCCCCTGGCCCCTGGAGCGGCTGCCCCTGGTGAAGCCGCCCCCGGACCTCCGCAGCCGCCCCTGGACCCCGCGGCTCCGACCCTGCAGCAGCCCGCAATGCCGCCCCAGGGACCCCGCGAGCCGCCCCAGCAGCAGCCCACGGCGCCGACCCTGCAGCTGCATGCCCCGCCGCTCCTGGACTCGGTACGGCTGCCTGCCTGTGCTGCCTGTTGCCGCCCGTTGCTGCCTGTGCCTGTGCTGCCCATTGCCGCCCGTTGCTGCCCGTGCCTGTGCTGCCCGTTGCCGCCTGTTGCTGCCCGTGCCTGTGCTGCCCATTGCCGCCCGTTGCTGCCCGTGCCTGTGCTGCCTGTTGCTGCCCGTGCCTGTGCTGCCCGTTGCCGCCCGTTGCTGCCCGTGCCTGTGCTGCCCGTTGCCGCCCATTGCTGCCCGTGCCTGTGCTGCCCGTTGCCGCCTGTTGCTGCCCGTGCCTGTGCTGCCCGTTGCCGCCCGTTGCTGCCCGTGTCTGTGCTGCCTGTTGCTGCCCGGGCCTGTGCTGCCTGTTGCCGCCCGTTGCTGCCTGTGCCTGTGCTGCCCGTTGCTGCCTGTTGCTGCCCGTGCCTGTGTTGCCCGTTGCCGCCTGTTGCTGCCCGTGCCTGTGCTGCCCGTTGCCGCCCGTTGCTGCCCGTGCCTGTGCTGCCTGTTGTCGCCCGTTGCTGCCTGTGCCTGTGTTGCCTGTTGCCGCCCGTTGCTGCCCGTGCCTGTGCTGCCCGTTGCCGCCCGTTGCTGCCCGTGCCTGTGCTGCCTGTGCCTGTGCTGCCCGTTGCTGCCTGTTGCTGCCTGTGCCTGTGCTGCCCGTTGCCGCCCGTTGCTGCCCGTGCCTGTGCTGCCCGTTGCCGCCTGTTGCTGCCCGTGCCTGTGCTGCCCGTTGCCGCCCGTTGCTGCCCGTGCCTGTGCTGCCCGTCGCCGACCGTTGCTGCCCGTTGCCGCCTGTTGCTGCCCCTGCTTTGCTCCGCGCTGTTGCCCTGCATGCACGGCTGCCCTGCCCTGCTGCGCGCCGTTGCCCTGCACACGCGGCTGCCCTGCCCGTACCTATGCTGCCCCTGCTCTTCCCCCTCCCCCTTCTTCATCTCCCTGCTGCGCGTGCAGCCGTGGAACGGAGGCTATGGGAGTGGCGGGTATGGGGGTGATGGGTGTGTGTGATCCCCTTCCCCTCCTCCTCCTTTCTCTCCCACTGCTGCAACTGCTGCTAGGGGGGGGTAGGTGTGAGGGTGTGGGGGAGCTGGGGGAGAGGTGCTAGGGTTGTCGAGAAGTGTGGAAGGGGGATTTGGAGGACTGGGGAAGGTTCCAGGAAGCAGCCGCCTTGGAGCCAGCAGCTTCACCTGCCAGCAGCTTCTCCTCATATAGTCCCTCCTCCTCACTTGCCCTCTCCTTCTACTGCACTTGGTGTACCCCTTCAGGGGGTGTCTCTGCATTAGCTTCCTGCTGCAAGCAGTTTAGGGGGTGTGTTAAAATATATCTCTTATATAAACTGCTTGTAGCAGTAGTTAGTGTAGTGTTACATTGTTTGGTGGTGCACCTTGCTTGCTTTGCCTATATCCTTGTACCCTCTCTCTATTGAACCCACTCTTTGCCTAAACTCTCTCGACTTCCTTTGGCCTAGGCTACTAAGCCTAGGCTCTACTCCTACTATCTCAACACGACGTAACAAGCGCCGGGCAGAAGATGGACCGCCCGCCCCGACTGCAGTGGACGTGCTGCTGGGCGGGCTCGAGGTCAACAAAAGTGCCGACGCCCAGCAGCACCCTTCGGCCCCTGTGG